TTTTTATTTTTTGGGGGGGGGGGGGGGGGGGGGGGTTGTAAAAGCCAAAACTTTTTAGGCTTTTTAAATTGTTTGCCACTGGTTGAGCCACAGTACATAGCAATTTCAATAGATTTGTCTCTCCCCTTATTACCCAATTTAAATAGAACCTGCAAATTCAAGGGGGTGGGGGTTGCAAATGACCCCCCCCCCCCCCATCAAATACATTGAAAGAAAAACTGCCATCTAGTACGAGAGTGCGTGCGTGCCTGTAATCATTATGTGGCTATACTGACACTTGTACACCTATTTTATAAAGTAACAAAAAAAACCTCAATAGCTAACTTAGGTTCTCTTATTAATACCACTAAGTTTTCATTTGCTCTAGTCTGCTCTACCATCACTACGTTTATGCTCTCAACTATTCCTAGCCACGTCCATGGCTTTAGTTTAGTATCCGCTAATCAAATTAACACAAGCAGGGCAGGCGAAGATTGGGTGCATTAAAAAAACAAAACAAATACTAACAGATATAGAGGATAATATTAATATTGAGGAGTACACGTTCAAGCTGTATGAAGGGAATCGACAAATCAAACTACACAATGGATGTCACGTCTCTATTTTAAAGCCAACTTCAACTAGGTTAAGTTTTTTTTCTCCTTTTCTTTGTTTTGTCGGTTGCCTGTAGACATCTTTAAGCAGATATCGGTGATATCTGATATCGTGCTATCGGTTTGGTGTTCTTTTGTTGGTAATGTTGAGAATGTTGCAGTTGATTACATTTAACACAAAGTCTTTGCTATGTATTAGTTATCCTCATCTAACACAAGGTCTGTGCAAGGTTGAGTATGTTCTACTTTTTTTACTGAACACTATTGTTGTAATAAATAAGAGAATAAAAGCGAATCCATGCACTGATTAATTTTGTTAAATATTAAATGCCAGTGCTGGATAAATTTAGGAAGAATTTTTGTTTTAATCTTCATAGATCTGAATCCGATTGTATGGTGTAAAAGACCATGTTAACAATGTTTAAATAATATAAACCTTTACAAATATGTGTATTGTTCTACTACTTCTATATTTTGAGGGATCATTATCAATGTATTGATCCTTTCGACACCTATGTCTGTAGAGGGGGTTCACAAATTTTCTGTGCATGGTTTTGAAGAGGATATTTCTCTGTTTGCATGGGCTACTCAGCGAGGGCATCATGAACTGGGGGTTGGGAGGTCTGAGACAATAGACGCAAATCTGTCAAGTGTAGTCGCCTCAACTGTTCCTTTGAAAGCTTGTTTCAATCCCTGATTGTCTTTGGCAGGAATGAGCAGCTCCTCTACTGTGTTCTTGCTGTCATGAACCAGGACTGCCTGTCATGGTCTCATCGCTGTCTAGGGGGAAGAGGGACAAGTTTCTGTTAAATTCTGGAGCAGTGGACAAGTCCATATTTTTATTTTGAACATCATGGAGCACCTGGATAATTGTCAGTGCTCTACTGGTGACCAGGCCAGTGTTTCCAGCACGCTGCCATCAACTGCTCTAATGGTGACCAGGCCAGTGTTTCCAGCACGCTGCCATCAACTGCTCTAATGGTGACCAGGCCAGTGTTTCCAGCACGCTGCCATCAACTGCTCTAATGGTGACCAGGCCAGTTTTTACAGCACGCTGCCATCAACTGCTCTACTGGTGACCACGCCAGTGTTTCCATCAGGCTGCCATCAACTGCTCTACTGGTGACCAGGCCAGTGTTTCCAGCACGCTGCCATCAACTGCTCTACTGGTGACCAGGCCAGTGTTTCCATCAGGCTGCCATCAACTGCTCTACTGGTGACCAGGCCAGTGTTTCCATCACGCTGCCATCAACTGCTCTACTGGTGACCAGGCCAGTGTTTCCATCACGCTGCCATCAACTGCTCTACTGGTGACCAGGCCAGTGTTTCCAGCACGCTGCCATCAACTGCTCTACTGGTGACCAGGCCAGTGTTTCCAGCATGCTGCCATCATCATATCTGTCACTTACCAAAACAAAATTAACACAATTTAAAGAATTCATCTTCAAAAAAGGCACTTTGTAATTTTAAATCTTTTTCATGATCGTTTAATACTAGGGTCAGCAACTATAGTTTCAGCTGTTAACATTAAGTTTAAGACTAGGGTCAGCACAGATAGTTTCAGCCGTTAACATTAATTTAACATTAAAAATTAAAAATGTAAAAAAAATTACTTTTTAAATATCACACAAAAACGTGTCATTGAAGATGTCACCAGGTGAGAGATCAGAATATTTTTTTTTATTTCTTGTGGTGAATACATCACAATTATACACTTAATATATTAGTTTCATTACAATAAATAAAGTATTAATAAAATGAATAGAACAGAATAAGATGCCATGATGGTCTGGTGGTGCACTTGAACTGAAGTTAAAACTAAAAACAAGTTTGTTTTAAGAGCCATTTTATCTTGTGCTCGCAGTGGGTGGCATCAGGTACCAAGGTTTTACAAGTCTGATATTGCAATCAGGCATTGTCATCCGTTCATTACCAAGTTGGGTTTGGCTGAAATGCTGTTGAACCTTTGAGTGTTTGGAAATAGCCAAAGAATCAGAGCTAGGTAAAAGCCAATTATAGATCATTTAAGCTTACTTTAAGTAGTATTAATAAAATCAGACAGAAAATAAGCCTATCAATGTAAGCTTACTATAAGTAATATTAATATAATTTAATCAGACAGAAAATAAGCCTATCAATTTAAGCTTACTATAAGTAAATAATATTATCAGACAGAAAAATGAGCCTGTCAATTTGAAGATTCTATTGTAAGATAGCTGACATATATTTATAACTATATAGTGGTTTCATATGTTCCTAAAGTTTCATTTATTGATTTTATAATTTTTTTTAAAAGTTATAAAACCCTTTCATTTATGCTAAAGCATTGGGTGTTTAAATATAATGATTTTAATTTGTTCTTAATTTTTTTCATAAATATTTCAATAAAACCTTTTGGTACCTTTTGAATGATGTCACGAATTTCTGTGTTGTGAGCATGGTCTAGTACATTCTTTGTTAATACTTCTATAAATGGACTACCACTTGTAGGGCTTCTGTAAGCTTTATAGCCTGCAATCAAATACAACAATACATTGGAATAAATATAGGCTTATATGGAGGTAAATTAAAAATGTATTTGATTTTGTTCCACTATTGCATGAACTAGTTATTCAAGCTTCAACAATATAACTAGCTTTGGTATCATGCTTCTTTTTATAATGGTTACTTATTGATTCATCTAAAACAAGCCAAATCTTAAAACACATTAAATGTACAAAACCATTTAACAGTACATAACAAACAAGGTTTAGTACTACACAGTACTGAATACATGGTTAATATGCTTTGAATGACAAGGAAAAACATCTACAGAACCTTTTATGGGATGTAACAACCTGAAAATATTAAAACTAAGCACAAAGTGCAAGTTGGCTTAATCATATAGCTTGGCACGTAAAGTATACAAATATTATTTACATTTATGAATATGAAAATCTACCACTAAGTCCAAGGTAAACAAGGACATATATTTATGCCTGTAATTATAAGTAAAGAAAATCTGCGATCTTGTGAAGAGCTACCTAAGAATGCAGTAGTCAATGGCTACTAAAGATTAGTAAAAGGAAAGGGCTACTTTTAAAGGAAGGGCTACCTCTTAGAAGAAGTGAAGTGCTTCCGAAAATGGAAGGTATATTGATTGTAAAAAAAATACCTCATATTGATAATCATGATAGTGAAGAGCTACTTATGAAGATATTCCTAAATAATAAGAAAGTTGGCCTACCTAAAGATGAAGAGTGAACAAAACACATATCTGCAGTGTCTGCTAATCTTGGGCCATCAGACTGCAGGTCTCCTTCATTGGCGTCACTACTAACTTCATCCCTATTAACAGAGTCAGACCTTATCCATGCTTCACTAATAGGGTTATTTGTTAATGGCTGGTCTTCTTCATCTTCATTGGTGAATATTTAATAAAAATTTTGAAACTGGTTTTAATATATAAAAAATAATTAATTCCTCTTTAGTAAATGTGTTAATGTTTTTTTACCCTAATAAATTACAATCCAAAAATAATTTTGGAAATTCCTAAATATTTACAAAAATTCAATATTATTATCTATATTATTAAGTTCAGTTTTATGTTGCCATAAAGTAGTATTTTTTAAACTTCAAAATTTGCTTAAGATTTGAAAATGATGAAATTGGGGTGCAATCATGTTAGGTTTAAGGAAATATGTGGGAAAAAAATAAGGGAAAACTTTAAAAAATCATGCAATTGAAACAACAAAGATGTCGGCAAGAAGCTTTCTTCAGCTAACAAACAAGAGTAACATAAATATAAAAATATGTAATAAGTAATCTGCAATGTAATGCCTGAGAGGACAGCAATTTAATTGACCATTAGTAGGAAAGAAAGTTAATATAGGCAAAGAAAGAGAAGAGAGGAAAAGTAAGTCCATGGCGATTGGTTGTAAAAAGGAGGGGGCAGAGATAAGATCTAACATTGCAGCTTGCTTTCTAAGTTCAACCTGTCTGGAGTGATGGTACAGCAAATAATGGCAATACAAGCCCTTGTGGTCATTCCAATAAATATAATAAGATTTAACTACCGGTATGCATTGATTAAATTTATTTTTTGAAGCTTTTATGGGACCACACGGCAGCTGTAACCACTTAAAAAAAATAAACTTACCCCCCCTGCATGCTTGTATGATAAATAGCTTAGGCTTGCCTATCATCAGAGGGCATTTCTTGCCAGTGAAACTTTGCTGACAGTCAAATTTGGTGATGTAGTTTACTGGAGCTCTGTGAATCATTTCCCCATCAATTCCAAAAATTGTATCATCTGAATGGCCATGACTCATTATGACAACAGCTAGTGCTGACACTGAACCAAGTGATGTGTCATTAGCAAAATTGTATAATGAGCTTTTCATTTCCTGCATGAGGAAAAATTGAACAAAGTTACTTTGGACCATTGCATTGCATATACATTTATTATAGTACTGGTATTGTTGAGATCTATAAGGAACCTGTGCAAGGAGGAGTATACAAAAAGGTCTAAAATAAAAACTGTCTTAGAGATCAGAAGAAAACTTGGCAAGAAGGCATGGTACAAGCTTCCATTACAGTAAAACTGAAATAAGCTTGTTATAGACTTTCAACAGTCTGATTGAATTCTTTATCAAGTTAGTAATAATAGCATAACAGACTGCATATACTGCCATATACCTTACCAGAGATACACTGTCACATAGCTCACCATACCTCTTCTGTTATATAACCTGCCAGAGCTATTTGACACTTCATCAAATGGCTTACAAGGCCGAGTCTGGAATGACAGTCTCAGCTGCACTTGTCGCAGGTGAACTTTGAATTCTGGTTCACTTGTGGATTCCGTAATGATATTGATATTTATGCTGCAGGGGCTGTGCTTCCACCTGTTTGACTTCCTTATTCACTGTTGTTTCATCTGTTTCTTTTTTTTCTTCCCTCATGTTCTTTTAGCAAACGTCCTTAAATCACAGCAGCGGAAATCCAATTAAGTCTTGCCTATCTGCCATTCTCCATAAAGCAGATTCTTTGGAATACCATCTTCCATCAATCTCCTTATATGGCCTAACCAGCAAAGGTATATCCTGCTAAGAGCAGGGAATACGCTGCAGATTTTGGCATATTCTAAAACCTTTGTGATAGGTACTTTGTCCTGCCCTTCAATTCGCAAAATTACTCTTTGACACACTGCTGTTCACCATGTGGCATGAACAATTATTGTGCTATGATAAAAGGTTGGAAAATATTGACAACAGTTCATGTATTTATTAAATTCATTTCAGGATTATGTTCATAGTGCTGCACATAAATTTATCTCTTTTATTGTGTACTTTACCTCACTTGTCTGATTCTTTTTCACAGAAACTTCAAAGTCCAAAAACTTAAACATGTCAATTGTCATTTCCATATCCCTCTCACTTCCATCCCTGGAACTTAAAAATTGAAATATTTCATTGTTTATGATCAAAGCTTTGCCCCTAGGTGAAGTATTCATGCTATATCTTGTTTCCTGAAAATGTAAAAGAAAGAAAGTTATTGTAGAGTTTAAAATAAAATGTCTTATGTTCTGCAGCAGGAGTGGGCAATCTTTTTAAGTTTGTGTGCTTAAACCAATAAATCTTTTATTCATAATTTTCCTACAGGAACACCAAAATTATTGACTCTCCCATGGTCTATCCCTAGTCAAGATAAAGGAGGAGGGTTGTACATGGGGGTAACTATTTTCATCCAGTTAAACACCTGTTACTGCATCAACTGCAAAGGGAATTACCAACACACTCTGCATCGGGAGTGAAGTAGGCACATTTAGTGTACAGGATTGAAGTAGGCACATTTACTGCACAGGAGTGAAGTAGGCACATTTAGTGTACAGGAGTGAAGTAGGCATGTTTAGTGTACAGGAGTGAAGTAGCCACATTTAATGTACAGGATTGAAGTAGCCACGTTTAGTGTACTGATGGCTGGAGACCAAATCTTCAAATCTCTGACCCAAAAACAGATCTCCTGACACAAAATTCATGGATCAGAGCTGGATTCCGTAATATTTCAAGGCTGGAAAGATGCTTAAATTGATCAACTACAACTTGAGCCTTATGGTCACAAGATGGATTAGAGATGGAAAGCATACGCTTACCATCCAGGAGAAACCTTCAACCGGTTGGAAAAACAAGACAAAAACCACCAGGAAGGAGTGACGCTCATTGTGCTCATAGTCGACAAGAATGAAACAAAAAAAAATCCTCAAAACCAAACCAGTGAAAGAATGATCACTCCATGCTTTGATAGGATAAATTCCAAGTTCTCTAAACAATCAGTTGTAGTTGAATGTGGAAATCTGCTGATTCAACTACTATGGAGGCAGACAACAAATGGAAAGATAACTTTTACAATGCTTACAGGGTTTCTAAATCATTGTAACTAACACTGCTCACAAATCTGTAACAGAGTTTAAGCTTTTAAGGAGCAAGGTCAGAGCAGATGGTGAATGTGAGGAAGAAATCAATGCAAAGATCAGACATTGGAAGTGTTGATATCCACATGGATAACCTAACCAACTACAGCAAGATTTGAATTTCTAACAGTGATTTTTAAAATTTTTCTCCTTAATGGATCAGAGTGTGGGAAGACCACTAGAAAATCAGAAAGGTGGGTGGAAATTTTACAGATCAAATGCCTACATAGATTCCATAAAATTATCTTGTTAAAGACAATGGCCATTAAAAAATGAGATGGCGATCAAAAATAAAATCTCTTGTAGAAACAATACAGGCTCAATAACAAAGACGTCTTGGTCATGATGCTTTTGAATGCCACAAAGCTCAATTTCCAAGAAAGCCCAAGGAAATTGAAACTGTGAAAGAACTTAGAGAAAGGAATATGACACAGATCAATGCAAAAAGGATCAATGGAATAAAAATCTGACTCTGTAGACAGTTTCAGCAGAATTAGTGGATGGACCAAAGTGGAGGGTAGACAAAAGTGGAGGATAGACAGAAGCAATGGATAGACAGAAGTGGTCATTAAGCAGAAGTGGTCGATATAAATAAGTGATGAAGAGACAGAAGTTGTGTATAAAAAGAAGCATCGCAATATACCTTGACTCACAAAGACTGAATATTTTATGATTTCTTGTGTCTTTTAAAAGAACTTTTCAAATTATTAAAAACCCACAAGGTATAAAATGGATTTAAAATATTTTTAGTCTTTTCAAGTGTATTGAATGTAATAGTAATTGTTACCAATGATTTTTAGTTTTAAGTCTTTCGACCACATTGTTAGAGCGGACATAGTTTTTATTATTCTTCAAAAATAAAGCTAGCTTCTACTTCTATGCACAGTTACAAAATTCAAAAGCATAATTTATTTTTATATTCTATCAATCGATACATTTTTTTTCTCAAGCTTCTATATCAACTAATGTGCCAAATATCATAAAAATTTGAAAAATCATTCTTATCTTATTTAATTTAAAATAAAAACTCGGCTAAAAGATTGCAAATTCCTCCACATACATAGGAGCCAGAATGATCAATACATTGATTATGGGTTCTTAATAGACAGAAGAAGATTGATACTATGCAGTGGAGTAGCAGAGTACATGTAAGAAATAACTTGTATATAGTATATAAAGTTGACAGAAAATTAGTCCCAAAATAAGTGCCATTTAAGTCGGATTTCCCCCTTCACCCACCCTCTTTCTAAGCCTTTGAAAGTATTTAACTACTTTTCCAAGGTGAGCCCTGTGTTGTCAGTCATTCATAACTATTATATCTTCTGATCACTGAGAGCAAAATAAGGATAAGATTTATTTTTTGCATGTGAAAAGAATAGTTTCTAACCAGAATTATGTTTCTTTAATTATTATTTAAAAAGCTAACCTCTCTAAGTCCTGTTAATTCCAACCTGGTTGCAGGTGCTGAAAAATTAACCTAAATTAATATTTTGAAAAATGTTATGGAATGAATAAGTGAAAGATTTCAAGCATTCTACAACTGAAAGTTCTTATGTGTTCTCACAAAATTCCTCCACAAAGCTAGCATCTGAATACAACACTATAAACTTATTTGTGACTTGTTTGGTGAATCAAAGAGTTTACCTCAGTATAACTTGTGGCACAATTAAAAAATTATTAGCTGAATTATTTTGTACTTAAAGGAACAAAAAGTCAAAATACTGATTTGCACTATAATTCACAATTATTTTGTTTCTTCCACTTAAAAACAGTTGTTCTCTCACCCTGTGCTGATAGAAAACTAAGTGTTCCTCTATTCTGTTGTAAGTCAGATTGACAGAGCACTGGAGTCTGTTCAAAGTCACATGGCACATCCTTTACAACATTTAATACTGGCAGCTGTATAATATTAAATAGTGCATAAGAAATGAGAACTAATATGAGGCAAAAGATGACTCAAATGGATTTTAATGGACAAAACTAAAGTGACCATTGAAATAAATCAAAATATTCTTACATGGTTTACTCATTTTGTATTCCCACCCAACTGTCACAGACTATTGCTTTTGGGTGTTGTTTAAATTACCAGCTCAGATGTAAAATACCTCTTGTTTTTGTTGACTTGGCAGTGCCCTTCCTGATAGCTCCTGGAATTTGTTTCGTATCTTCTGTGCAATGGAAGCATTATCAGTTTCTATAGCATCCACAAACTTTGAGAAATCACTTAAGGACAACCTCTTGGCACTGTCACAAATCTTAACCATAATGTCATAATCAGACCTGTCTCTTCCCTCAAAAGAAAATAATATCGATAATTATTTGCATATGTCATATGTTTTCTTTTATTAAACTAATTATTGCACATTTAAATTTGGATTTGAACCGACAGAGCAGATCTTATATACTTGAGTTCGTTAATTTTCCTTGCACAGTAAACTCCAAATTTGTCACTAACTTTCTGTCCCCCTTAAAACAGAGGTGGAAACTGCTGTAGAGCAGTAGTTTTCAACACCCAATCAACAGCAAAGGCCTGTCCTTACATAGAACAAGAAATTGGTAATTTGGACATAATTTGAGTGAGAAGACTTTTTTAAGACAAATGTAAGATGAATCCAAAAAGAGAAAAATAAGTTGGCAACGGATTAGGGTATTCTAATTAATTTACATAGATTTCACACCAACTTTTTATATTGCTGTAGAAGAGTGGGGCAACACAGCTGATAGAAGTGTGGGGCAACATAGCTGATAGAAGTGTGGGGCAACATAGCTGATAGAAGTGTGGGACAACATAGCTGATAGAAGTGTGGGGCAACATAGCTGTAGAAGAATGGAACCACATAGCTGTAGAAGAATAGATTTTGGGTGGCTGAGCTGTCTAAACTAAGTCAATCTCAAACTTGTTGACTGGAGTTCAATCCTCCAAAAAAAAAAAGCCTTGACAAATAAAATGACACCAGCCCCTTGGGTGTTTGGGACTCATTAACCCTGGATGGTTAATTCATCTAAGAGGAGGCAAACTCTAAAATCAAACCTGGAGATGGAGTCCCGTAGGTGTTATAAAATTGACACTATGAAAATTCAGACAGCTCCTGCAATGTGGAACACATAAAGTAAGAGCACAGTGAGATACAAGAAACACTGCTGCTATCTACTGCATCCTGGTCTATTTCCAACCTTCTTGACTTAGTCTTACCATTGTATCAAATAGACACGGGCGAGGCAGTGAGGCTGATGAATTAAGCAACTCTCCTTCAATTTAAACAAAATATAGCTCAAGTCAGGGCTACTACTCAAGTCAAAGTCAAAGAGTAGGGAAACATAGCTTTAGTAGATTGTGGAAAATCAGTGGTAGAAGATTTGGGCATACATTTTAATAAAATAATTTTTTTTAAATTTCAAGTCCATTTTATAATTATATATCTTTTTTAGAAATTAATTTGTTAACATTTTTGGATATTGGAATTGGAAGTGTAAGAAATGTTACTGACTCCATTCCAACTCCCCTCCAGCTCCAGGCAAAAAAACCTGCTCCAGAGCTCCAATTCCAGCTTCAAATCCCTGCAGGGCAGGCTCCAAGATTTGTCAAATGGGCGATATTGAAGTTATTTGAATTTCTGTGTATGAGCCAGGTCCATCAAGCCATCATAAATCCTACCCTTAATTCTCCAGTGTTTGCAGCCCACCGAACATTAAATATACAAATTTAAGGCATCTTTTATTTTCTAAAAACTAATTACTCTTAACATTCATTAAAAAAGTATAAAACATTTGAATTCTTCAATTTTCCAACGCACCTAGGTTTAATTTTATGTATTGCGCCAATCACTTATTACGATCCATTACAAAAGGGAAATGAAAGCATTGGGAAACATACCATATTTAAATATTTATTTAAAATTTGTTTCATGTTCTGAAATATTATTTTGAAGAGTTGATTTTCTTTTAAATATAATAAGTACCAGTAGGCCTATTTAGATGTGTATAAAATGCCCGACCCATCATCATGGTCAAATACTAAAATTCTAACAGTACCTGTAGGGCCTTTACTGAGCCTTAACTTTACTGTATTAAATCCAGCTATTTTATAAATTAACAAACAAAACAAGTGATAAAAATTAAGGTTAAAAAATTTCTTGGTTTAAAGAAATGAATAACAATTACCTCATCTCTACTTAGTGTCATTGGAGAGAAAATTGCTTTCAACTGAACACGGATGTATTTGTATTTAACTTCTGATGCTATATCATGGCAATTTCTATTCATCACTTCACAGATGTAATTGTGGTCGCTGAGTGGATCAAAAGCTGCCATCTTCCTTTCAACTGGAATTCTTGCATAATAATATATATAAAAATTATTTTATATTATGTATTTTTATAAAAATCAATTTGATCAATTAGTAATTAGTTTGTTTGGCTAGTTTTGAGTTTGACTGATATGATAGTGAATTCATGCCAACTGTTGTTGCAGTGTTGAAATGCATAATAAATGTTTGATAAGCTCTTACATATATTTTGCTTCAGGTGTTACTTCTTCCTATTCCCAACCAACCCTCCCCCTGCTGAACATGTTTTATCGTTCTGTTTAGCTTAGGCTCCACATCCAAGCGTTCTACTTAAGCTTGACTGTTTCTACTCTGCCTAACTTTATCGTCTCAACTATTCTGTTCAACTAGAAAATATATATTTTGCTTCTGGTGTGGCTGCTTCCTTTGCACAACCGGCGTCTCCCCCCCCTACTAAAATTGTATTATATTAATAGTACAGAGAGGGAAAAAAGGCTGTCAAGCTGCAAGTGTCATGCATGAGGGTTGAACTCAGGTAGAGGGTTGAATTTTTTCGGATAATAATATTGTTATATTAATCAATAAAAAGCCATGGGTATGATGTAGGACTGTAATGTAGGACTGTCTGAAGGACTATTGTTTAAAGGTCGGCAGGCAGGGTGTAGGACATGTAGGACTGTTTGTAGGACTATTGTTTAAGGGCCAGCATGTTTTAGTAATTATGGAAAATGAGAAGTTAACACTTTTATTTTTAACCCTTGGACCCATGGGTTTAAAAAAATTGCATCGGGTTAAGCTCTAGATAGTATATATTTTTAGGTCACTATTCAATAATTTGTATAGTATAGTTGTAGTTGTACATGTGGGAAAAGTAGTAATTACATTTTTTTTTTAAATTGACATTCTCATATAGTATATATTATATAATGATATAGTATAGACATTGTGATTGTGAGTGATTGAACCGATCAAGACTAAGAGACTGAAGAATTAGGGCCCATGTCCATGCATAGCATTGAGCATAGACGGCATAGTCACTGAATAATAATCAGATAGGAAATAGTTGATATACATTTTAGATGATGATATTATATTTATTAAATACTAACCAATATACCCGGCGTTGCACGGGAGTGCATTAGGACCCAGATCCTGGTAAGACCCCAATCCCATTCTGACCCCTATCCTGGCGCAATACTTTTTCGTGGTGTGACCCTGATCCCAGTGAGATCCCGTTTTCTTGTGGCTGTGGATCCAGGGGGAATCCAGATCCCAGTGGGATCCCGATACCGTCGGTATCTTGATACCGTTGGTATCTTGATCTCAGTGGGATCCCGCTCTTGGTGGATCCCGATCTCAGTGGGCTACCGATCCCGTTAGGACACCATCCATCCACCGTGGGAACCCATTCCCCCTAGGGATCCAATTTTCTGATGTTATTCCTTTTCCTGATAGGATCCCGTTACCCGATGGAATCGCGTTACCAAAAGGCTCCAGTTTGCTGTTAGATCTTGTTTCCCATTAGAATCCTGTTCCTCTATGTGCTCATGCTCTGTGCAATTTTTTTCAAATACGATTTTAGATACTTTTATATATATTCCCATAGAAAAATATAGAACCTTCTAGATTAAATTTAATATCCTCCATGAAACGTGTAAAAACTTACTTTTCTATGTAATTATTTCCTGAATGCGAAATATTATACAACTTAATTGTACTACTATATTTATAGTACATTTAAATTGAAATAGAGGCCCTGGTGGGAGCCCATTAATTTAATATAATACTGTTTTAGCTATGTCTGAGATAGGGGACCCTATAAAAATCATTCAGATAAGTTATTAAGTTAAAATTTGTCCCATTAAAATCCGTTTTAAAATGCCATATATATATATATATATATATATATATTATATATATATATATATATTATATATATATTTATCTTTTTTAAATTATCCAACTTTCTAGAAAATTCTAGATTTGCTCTGCATGGATTGGATATTATTAGTTTTAAATACACTAATATTTTTAAAATGACATATATATATATATATATATATATATATTATATATATATATATATATTATATATACATTTATCTTTTTTAAATTATCCAACTTTCTAGAAAATTCTAGATTGGCCCTGCATGGATTGGATATTATTAGTTTTAAATCCACTAATATTTCAATACACTACACTACGGACAATGAAGGGCATGAAGGGTATTGCAAATTTATATAGAACCTAAACTAAAGTTAAAGCGTTGTCTAAGCCTATTGATATTTATATGGATTATATAAGAAAAAATGAAACGGGCCCCGGCCCCAGAGGAATGGAAATTATGAGTTCAAGTTCAATACCCTTCGTGGCGGCACTTCGGTATTTTAATTATTAATATGGATAATAAAGTGTAGTGTATCATAGTGTATGTTTTACTAAGTTTGGTCAAGACCCATCTACTCATTTAGGCAAAAAAAAACAACGAATTTGCGGCCCCCGGCCCCAAACGGATGTTATAAAAGTTTAATGTTATAAAACCCTTTAAGAATTCCATCTGGATACTGATAGATATATATGCCAAATTTGGTCAAGATCCATCAAACCATGTAAAAGTAAAAGCCTTTGTGGAACAGACACCGCCACAATCACAAACCCACAAACAAACAAATTTTCACTTTTATATATAAACATGATATATGATATTGTTACAAACATAGCTCTATGAAAAACAAATTTCCTGTATGAATGATACTAACCAAATAAAAGTGTTGTGTCGGTCATCAGAATCAGAAGAATGGTTCTTTAGTCTCTGATTTATTTTTCTCCTTTCCCTTCATCCTAGGGTCAAATAACTGAAATATTATTGTTATCTCGGTGATTAGAGTTGCCGAAGAACCGTTCTTCCGTTTTTAGAGTAAGGTAGCATGAGTATACAGTACATGTAATTGTATAACCCAAGTTAGTTTAAAATAAAACAGTAAACAATGTCAAAACGACCTGTTCCAGATATGCAGACTGCCGATAGCTCATCAGGTAATTTTCAACGCATTATTCTTCTTCTAAAATTTTGAGGACCCACGGCATGGTTGCACAGAATGTTAATATTTGCATTAATTTCATTAATTATGCTTGTCCCAGCGGACCTCTCTTTTGACATTTGATTTTTGAATGGCCAATGGTAAATCTGAGGTCCCTTACAACTTACGGAGGAAATGGCTAAGTTTATGGCCATGCAGTTCGTAATGGTGGTGTAGAGTGGTACCACTTCTAGAGTTTCTGACAGTGTTTGGTACTTGGCAGGATAAAATTCCATGTCCCAGCTCATCTCCCACTCAGCTAACCCATTGTGAGATCTTTTTTTAGCTGGTCATGTCATGAAATTCCATGTCCCAGCTCACCTCCCACTCAGGAACAAACGGGTGCCTAGCACCAAACCCTGGGGGACCCCTGACTTAACACCAACGAAGAAGCTTGTACCGTCCATTACTATACCTGGAATCTGTTGTTGAGGAAACTAGAGATCCATGTATTGGCAGGACCTTGCATCCCATATCTCTGAAGTTTGTGCAAAAGCAAACTATGATTTACACAGTCTAATGGCTTTGAGAAGTCCATCCCCAGTACGTCAGTTTGTTTGCTGATCTCCAGAGTGGTCATCAAGTCTTCTACAAAGGAGCTGAGTCTCACATTGACTCACATGATCTATTGACTTGGAAGCCATGTTGATATTGACTTGGAAGCCATGTTGACAGTCACTGAGTATATGTGTGATGATTGATGATGAGGTAAAAAGGTTACATTTTTTCCAGGTGACTATTATATTAATCAATAAAGAGCCAAGGATATGGTGTAGGACTTTCTGTAGGACTATTGTTAAAGGCTGTCATATATCACAGAAAATGAGAAGTTAAGGAGTTAACTTTTTTTTTTTAACTCATTCTCTCCAGAACAACGCTCATTTGAAATGAAGATTTTGGCCTATCGACGATGGCATCGTCGATGTATAAAAACCTGGTTATTTCGGCTCTTTTCTTAGCTATTGGTTTTTAGTTATTTTAAATCAATTCCAGAATGATTTCCCGTTGTTTAACATCCCGTTTTTTGGTGTTTGAAAGAGGTTTTGCAGAGAATGAAGAGTTTGAAGTGGTTGTTTTGATTGTCCATTTTATTTTTGTTTACAAACATGAAATCTTGACCTAACCCATCTGGTGATCGATCTAATAAAGGTTGAAAATATTACTCTGATGATGATTCAGACAGTGATTTTATTATTTCAAATGCAGAAACTGATTCCTTTGAATACTATGATTATAATCCTAGTACTAGTATTAGTAGTACTAGTGACGAAATAATGAAAATTGGTAATTCATCAGCTGATGAACAACCAGCCCCGCCCCCAGCTAAAGTGCACATGAATATGAATTGTTTTTAGGCTAACCATAACTAAGCACAGATTAAAAGATATGACAAATGTATGGTAAATGTTCCATTTACCATAATAAATGTTAGTTCATACAAGAATACAGTGCAAATATTTTATAATAGCAAAAAATTGTTTTCAGTGGAAATTGTAAAAAAAAATTCGCAAATTTGTGACAATTGATAATGTGCTCTGAGGTTTAATTTTTTTCTTTTTTAAAGTTGATCTTTATTATTTGTGATGCACATATGGATATAGCTCAGAAAAAAAACAATTTTTGTTACACTTTGGATAATATATTTCTCCTGTTGTGACTTGGAATGAGCGTTTTGTGAACAGTTGGTAAGATTTTTATTTTTCTGAAATGATAATCACATTTATATATTAAAATGTAAACCCAAGTCTTGTTTGCTTGTAAAGGGCATACATTCTCCTTTAATTCCATACCAAACTTAACACTTTCTGATGAAAAACAAAAAAAGTTATGAAGGTTTAGAGACAACATAGTAGTGCGTTACAAAAACGCAAAATAGATAATTCCGCCAGAACGCGGAAAATAATTCCGGAGAGAAAGAGTTAAACTTGGACCCACCTGGTATTTTAATAACATTTCTTAACAAAAAAATCAAATCTGTTAAGGTTACAGATGTTACAAAAATAGTTAAGAGATTCTTTTTTAGATAAAAGAATTCTTTGTGTTACGATTTTCCTATAATAAAGTAGAAAAACAAGGTAAAAGTTTGGTTACATTTTTAATGTAGATATCAATATAACCGTTAACATAAAATATATCTAAAAGGGTATATAGTTAATATAGATTTTTTTGTTGTAAATTTAAAATCATGTTTTACAATTTTTAGAGAAAAAAAATTGTAGTGCAGGGGCGCAAAAAGGCGTAGGGTAGGCGGATATAATATATATATATTAAATAGCAGATAACTATTTCTCAAAACTAAATAATGTTAGAAGTGTAAATGTGATTACATGTATACTTTTTTGTATACATCAATATATATTACAGTATTTACAGATGAAGAATTAATATGAAAGACATTTTAAACTATAAGAAATTTTGTAGGGATAGATGACTTATATATACCTATAAATTTCTTATATTGGGGTCAATTGAAAAGGCAAAACATTATGATGGAAATTTAGGTCAAGATGTTCAATACTGTGAGCCTATGGATTAATACCACAATTGTATGGCAAAATAGTCCTTTTATCAATAAAAAAGCACCAATGTCCAAAAATAAACACTTGCAATCTCTGCACCGATTCCCATTTCCCATACACATTTTGAAATAGTCTACCTTGCCTTACCCAAGTGCCTAGTGTAAGGAACTAGCTTAGTCTTTGTAAGCTGAGCACTTTCTGACATGAAGCTACCCACATTGCATAGACTTGACTCACATGACATAGGGATCCTAAGTGCTGACTCTGTAACCTGGTAACAGTAAAACACCTAATTGCAGAGAGCCCTCCTTTGTTAATAGTTTAATTGATTAAAGTCTATGAGGCTCACCTTTGATGTGCAAGTCAAGTTAAGTTACAAAAGTTTATACTCGGTCTTACAAGAGATTAAATCATATTTAACATTAAGTATAGCTGAGCTGGGTGCATTTCTTTTACCAAAGTGTTACGCACTGGCTTCTATTGTGAGAAATTAATCTCTTGTTTTAAGTTATGGCTCGTTCAAACAGTGCCTAACAAAGGATGATACCATAGATAAATACAATAACAAAATTACGACACCCAAAACAGTTCAAATTACACTTAATACATAAGATTTAATTTAGTAATAATACAATTACAAAACAAAAGAAATATCATTAAAAATCATCATCTTCCAGTATGGTAGATCTTGTACTGGTACACAGTTAACACAGTTAGTAAAATGTGCCAATTAATAATGATGAATGCGAAATAAACACATGAGCACACAAAGAATAATACAATTGTTTCGTAAAGTTAATAATATCTATCTCCATCTATCTGAATCTCTATCTCAATCTCCGAAACCCTTTATTTATATTGTGGGTCTACTGACGCGTCCAAAAACGCCTTTACTTTTCTAATACAATCGCAAACATTCGACAAAACACTACTGAGAACAAATTAATTATTTTCAGTTGCTGTCGGCTATAAACACGACAGATCAAAAGACTAAGCCACGCCCATCTATGAACGTAGTATCTCATGTGGGGTCAACCAGAGTGCACGCATGAGGAAAGTGTTGTAAACAAGCTCTACATAACGCAAGGGTTCGGGTCTATGTCCAGTGTGTTTAAAAAAAGTGGTTAAAATTCAGCCAGCAATGTTTTCCATGCTATATAGGTCTTGGAGATTCCCCAGGTTAATTACTGGCCATGGTCATGTTTTTCAAAAGATTTTAAATTTTAGCTCTTTTATATATTTGATTAAAGTTTTTTTTTTTATTTTTGTCTTGAGAGTGTTGGGAGTACAACAGAATATTATGTTGAAATATCCCATTAAATTGTGACATTATAGAAATGAATAGCATATGGTTACTTCGTTTTTCAACCAATCAAAAGACAACACTTTAAACAATGCGCATGTCTTTTTTTCCGATGTTCATCTTGGGGTACCAAAAAGGATGAGTTTCTCTTTTTATTTCTTTTGATCCTTGTAAATTGAATTTTAATAAAAACGAATGAGAAATTTCATTTTTAACTTATTTCATTTTAACTGCATTGATCATTAGATTTCACTAATGATGCGAATAATGCCCAGTAAAGAACAGGAAAGTTATCATACTCATTGTTCATGTCCTACTGTTGGTCTTGTCACCTTAAGCCCAGTGTTAGCATTCCCCAAAGTGATGTCACTGCTCTGAGGGTGAGACAACTCTTGGCAAAACCCATGCCCCTAACTACATTTTACCAAAAAAGTTATTTTCTATAATGTATTCCGTCCAATGGGCATAAGCACAAAGTGCAAGTACAAAACCACTAAGGATCACAAAGGCATCACAGACAAAGTTGAAGGCTTGAAAACACTAATAATTATGTAGCCCATATTTGGAATAATAGCTTAATATTATAATCCTAATCCAGATGTTCTCAACCTTTTTAGTGCTGTGACCCCCTTATAACATTTGTAAAGTTGTGGCAACCCACAACCAGTATTATACCTTGAAAATCAGAAATAGGCTTTGCAGAGGGGGGGAGCACATCTTACACACAAAACCCCAGCTTAAATTTCAGAAATCATCTTGCGACCCCTGAAATTTTATCAGGCAACCCTTAGGGGGTCATGACCCGCTGTCCACCAGTTAAAATAAAAAAAATGGAGCGAAGCTTCCCTATTATTTATATGTGTTAGTTTTGAAGATTATATTAGTTTTCATTTTTATGATACCAACATATGCATATTATTTTTATTAAATATTTATATCCTTATCATGGCGATACCTTTATAGCCATCTTTCAGTTAAGCCAATATATTTTTTATTAAATTCGTGTTATGAAATAATAATTTTAAGTAGAAAGTGCCATGGCCATAACCAAAGATATGCATTAAGGTGAAATGTACACACAATTATTTTTAAAAAGTGTGCTTTTTTTTTTAAAACACCTGGTTCCATTTTTTTTCTTTTTTGCTGGATATCCAAATAATTCTCTTCATCTGGTTATATGGGTCAGTACCCTGCTCAGCCCTAAGAGTAAGTGCTAAATTGCCTTGAATTCACTTGAATTTGGTTGATTCTTTGTCCAATTAAATTGCAGTAAATGAATCAAAGTAAAGGCCTCTAAATTTATTATGTTTGTGAATGTATTTTTGTTATATTACTAATATTAGACAAGCATAACAAAATGCTATAGGGTTAATCAGGTTTCAAGAGTCCTTATTGCACATGTACTTAATTATAAACTATAGGGCAGAAAAATTGCCTTGTGCTATGTAATAAATTTAAATGAAAGTTTTTTTTCTTTTTTAAATATATTTCTTTAGATGATGATGCCCCTGAAGAATTAAGTGCTACAGAAGTTCGTAAGCAAAGCGTTTCTCAACTCAAAACACTCAAGGAAGCAGAGAGGAGAATTAAGGATGAAGAGAAAGAACGTAGACGTAAAAGAAATGAATTGTTCAAAACGCAGAAGGCAAGGCAGTTATAAATATTCTGCTGTCCCTTTCAGATCATTAATATTGCTAAAACTATAGCTGAATATGCAAAAATAAATATCATAGAATATTTTATTTAGCTGCAAAATAAATGTTGGATTTCCTTTTATTAGGTTAAGTGGTTAAGCAGGGATTGGCAAACCATGGCCAACAACTTTGGTTTATCAGGCAAAGAGCCAATGGTTGTTTTGAAATGACAGAAGAAAAAATGGTGTCTGTGCATAGTAGGTGTGGAACAGTTAAGGATATTTTCAAAGAGGTTGAAAAAAAATATTGCTAAGAACATTTTGGAGAGGACAGAATTGATTGTCTCAACAGATGGTGTTAAAAATATGTGCTATGAAGGGAAAGGGTTATTCTGACAAATTTTTTTCGGGCGACTGGTGGTAACTGTTGAACTATTTAACTTAAAGTATATATAAAGCATTTTAAAATAATATTTTTATACCTACATCAAAATAATTAAATTACCGGTATAAGTAATTGATACTGATGCGTTCATAGATTCAGTGAAAATCAAATAAGACCTTTTTATCAAGGACATGAAGAGAATGTAAGTTTTTTCTTAAAGCAAAAGTAACACCAAAAATGACAATGTGATGACTTGTACAATGATGGTGATTTTAGTGTTTTACATTTATTGGTGTGGTAATCATATTCAAACCTTGACATTTTTTAAGGACCGGTATAAAATATATTTCAAGAATGTGTACGGTAACTGTTAAAAATTATAAAGATTAATTATTTTTCAGATTTAAATTATATGCGTTATACAGTGTGCAACGTTAATGTTACTTTGGATTGGTCACTTTCAGAAATTCAGAATACTCCCTGTGCTACTGTTTACCTGAAAACTCAGTAAGAATCTAAAACATTGATTCAAATATTTTTGCCACAATACAAGTATAAGGAAGGCGTGTTCCTTTCAATACACATTCCGAGTTTTGAAGAAAATGTTAGGAGTTTTGAAGAAAATGTTAGGCTAGTCATGATTAACATCTTCTTTATTTAAAGTTTAAAGATTTGTTTATTCAGTCTGCATATTTCTTTCCCAGGTTAAAAAAAATTTAGACTTGAGTTCAAGAAAACTGCCTCAAGATATCCTAGATGCTGTTTCAACCAAGTCAAATAAAGGTTTGTCAGTGAATAAATGGCATTCATTTTAAACTCTAGAGAATTTTTTTGAACAACATTTGGTGTTAACGAAGAAAGGGTAGTTTTGAATGTTCCCTGAGCTAAGAAAATAATCACTGTGATCTATAGGTCAAAGTTAAAAAGTAAAGGAAAGTACCATTTTATGCTCTAGAGTGCCCTTAATTAATACTAAAAATTATACACATAGATAGTATGAATCACAACATTTTGTTAAATTTATATTTAATTGCGGTATTAGTCTGGGCATTTGGAATTTTGATATTTATAATTATATCCCTCCACATGCGGAAAAACTAGATATTTATTTAGGCTTTTTTTTTTTTAGCGCTTACCTTACAGCTCTAAGCGCTTTACAATTATTAAAAATATGTGAACTATTTAAACTGCTAAAGTAAACTAAAAATGAAAAACCAGAGACACTACAATAGTAACTACGATGTGAAAAATGACTATAGAAACAGATATATGGGTAGCTCAAGAAAACAAGTGGCTAGACACATGTTTAATGACAAATAAATAAATATACTTTGGGATTGTATCAACAGTTTGTTGTTTTTTTTAAAATTAAAGTAAAGCTAACTTGACCTTCAAAAAAGATCAAATAACCTTGAAATCAGTTGATCTTTTCTTCTTTTTTTTTTTTTAAACATTTTAAAGCCATATTTTATTTTTCTGCATTTAGTGACTTGGTCGTCTATAATCATTTATATTTTTAAAGCTAAATAGTTACAACAAAAATAAAATTATGACTCCAAAAATTGAAATGAATAAAAATCAATCTGCTTGATCAATCAATTGAAATTGATCATTCTGTGTAACGCAGGGGTCACAAAACTATGGGTCGCGGCAGGCTAGATGAACTGGCCTGCCAACGGTACTTTAATTTGCTTGATAAAACGTATGGAACACGAGACATGATCCAATTTGAATTTCAATATTATGTTTAGAATACTATGAGATCTTCACACGTTCGGAGACCTCTGGCCGCTATGCGCCTTAATTTACCATTTTCAATTATATAGATTTTCTTGTTAATTGCAGACCTGTCTACCCTTGAACTCCTAATATGGTCTCAAAATTGTACAATATGTATCTTAATGGTAAATAAATAAAATTTTATTCACTATAAATACTATAGGAACTACTCACATCGCAGTGCCTAGTGCGATCGAGTTAAGCTGGCATCAAAAAAGTTAACTCCTAAAAGTAGATGACCGACTTTTATATTACAATCTGCGGTCACTTTGTTTAGCAGACGTGCATTTGCTACGGATATTAATTTATATTTGAGTGGACGTACAGATCCCAGTCTGTCACTGGTAAAATTAAAGTTACTGGTGAAATTTAACGTGGTTCAAACTCGAAGTCAGATAAGTATAAAATAAGCTGTATTTAAATAAATTTATTATGAAATGATGACATCATTTATAATTTATAAAACCTACCAAATAACTTGAGGTTGTTGTTTTTTTAGGAGAAGCTGGTTTAAAAAAATAATAAAATAAGAATCATTTTCCATTAAGCCTATTCCCGCTAATATATTATAGTCTAACTACCACAAACTGTAGATGGGTGAAAGGAAGAGGTGTCTGGAGACATACTGAGCCATTAAAAATCGTAGTTCTCGCGGTTAGAACTATCATCCTTCGGCAAGTTCAGTTGTGCGGACAACAGAAGAAATTGGAGAGAACATAGTGCTACAGATACGCTGGATGAGTCTACTGATCAATTAAGTATGTCACAACTTCTTGTGTTTATTTGTGGTGTCAATTTGGACTTTCAGATAACAAGAGTTGGCATCTGTTTGCAGTATGCATGGAAAAAAAAATCGGAAAAGACATGTTCATGCAAGTGCCAAAACTTATGTACACTATAACCTTCAGTGGAATCAGCTTCGAGGTGTTACAGTTGATTGAGGCAAAATCCGGATGACTCGATGGTCCTAGTCCACTTCGACGGACGAACAACAACACCAGCAAGCATTCAGTGGGAAAGACTTAGATGTTTCTTGTGTACTGAAACCAGTCTTTTCTAGTCAACATCACATTCCACATTAATGAACTGAACTTGAATCTTCTGGGAAAGGATAACCTCATCTGTGATCTCTACAGAATTATCAAAGAATTTTGGAGAAAACTGTCATTGAAGCACAACTGGGAGGAGAAAAATTTTCTCATTTTCTCTGTTTCGAAGAGTTTTGCGATACATTTGACAAAGATGTCAACCTCAATTTTCCGAAGAAAAAAAAAATAGTGGTGACTTGCAGAAGCATTCTTTGGAGAGATCTTGACAAAATTGAGAGTGGCATTCATCTGTTCCGGAATCCATTTGATTGTAACCTTGATGATGTGCCAGTTGAAATACAGTTGGAGCTCGTTGATTGGCAAGCAAACGACTCGTTAAAAGAGATGCACAGAGAAGAAAAACTTGTTGAATTTTACCACTGCTAACCTCATGTTAAGTTTCGGAAACTGAAGAACTTTTCCGCTGGTATGGCATCAGTGTTTGGAACAACTTATGTCTGTGAGCAAACATTTTCAAAAATGAAGTATATGAAGCCAACACATCGAACGAGGGTGACTGTTTTTAAAACAATTCTCTTGATTGGATGCAGTAATTCCAAACCAAACATTGATGATATCTTAAAAGCCAAATGTCATTTTCATAAATCTCACAACCCTTTTTGCTGCTTAATTTGGGAGATTCGACTATGTGCACACTAGTCCTGATGTTAAACTAAGTTTTTGCTAACGTCGCCTTCTTTGATAACTTTTTTTTTTAGTAAATAAATACATTGGTCTTTGTTCCTGCTTTTTTGTGCATTTCAAGCCACCCACCCATGATTACCATGGAATACTAAACTTAGTTTTTCGTCTTTTTTCTCGGAGCTTTTGTTTTGGCTTGGAAGTATTGTATAGAATGATTATATGGCCCGCGCTCATCATTTTGTCCATTGTTCGGCCCGCCGTGAAAATAGTTTGATGACCCTGGTGTAACATTAAGTAAAAATAAAATGAAATCTTGTAAATAATCCCCTTGAATTAAAGGTGTTTCGTAAAATTATCTAATGAAATCAATAGTGTTTGGTTTTTATCAGTCATTATTTTGCTAATATTATCTTTTTAGGTAATCAAAGTGATTCAATAAAGAAAAGGCTCTATGACAATGAAGATAATGATGTAAATGAACGTTTATTAGACAGTGGGCTGGAACTTGAAGACTACAATAGTACATCAGACTTTATTCCATTTGGGTTAGTTTTCATTGCTGCAATTACAGTTCCATTTAAACTTTAAAAAGTGTTGGACTGCGATAAAGCTTTAAAATAGATTAAATAGACAGGAACAATATATGTTAAGCTTTAATAATAATTTTACATTAATACATAGACATTTCGGCGCATGCCTTCATCAGTACAACAACAAAACATTTAAATAAGTGTAAATTAAATTTACATAATATATATATATATATATACATATATCCTACCTAAGAAAAGGAGAAAAAATTGGAGTGGGCGCAAAAAAAACCAGACAGAAACAAAGTAAAGAAGTAAAATCTTACTTTGTTTCCGTCAGGGGTTTTTTTTTGCGCCCTCTCCTATTTTTCTCTCCTTTTCTTAGGTAGGATATAGGTATATATATATATATATTATGTAAATTTAATCTATACTTATTTAAATGTTTAGTTGTACTGATGAAGGTATGCACCGAAAGGTCTATTTATGTATTATGTAACAATATTATTAAAGCTCAACATATTTTGTTATATTGACACAAATTGTTAGTTTCTAATTAATCTATTTAAACTTTAACATGCTGAATGGATATTTCTATTAAAGATTTTGCTGCATCAGTTAATTACATTACAGCTTAAAAACTACAACAATTTCAATAATATACAATTTTAAGATTAATAAAAATATTTGGGGGATTTTTATCTTTTAATTAATTTATTTTTAATTGGATACACATCTAATTTTGTTCAATATTTTCTTTAGGGATGCTAGTAGCAGTAAATTGAGAGCTGTAACAGAAGATGAGGTCCACAAGAAAAAGTTGTCATCTGCACAAGCAGCCTTCAACTTCAAGAATAGTCGACTATACAACCAACAAACAATTCCACGTGAAAGTGGTAGGTTTTCTTGTTTTTTTCTACAAGTATATCGGATGATTTTATTTGAAGTGTAAAGTTCTGGGCTAATAATTTTATGTATTAAGCCTTGTCCTCCAAACTTAAGTTGAAATTTTAAAGGGTATCACTATTACTCAGTAATATTGACCGCTTGTCCACTTAAATTAATATATTTAATTACTGTATTTATTGGCGTATAACACACACATCAATTTAAGAAGGAAATTTCAGGGAAAAAAACTAAACATTATATCGGCGTATAACACGCACACATGATTTGCCCCCTATATTCGGGGAGAAAAAGTGTGTGTTATATGCCAATAAATATGGTATGTTGAAATGAAATATTTTCAATCTTTTATACTTTATAGACATTTTTTAAAAAAAACGAAATAAATTTTCTTTCAGCACAACAAAGAAGAGCTAGAGCAGCAAAACGTCAAGCCAACAAAATTAGGTGAAAAAGGATAATCATCTGGGAAAAGTATATTTGCCTGGTGAGAGAAATGAAATGGTAAAGGCATTATTGACTCAATCTATACCCTTTATTGTTGCTAACAAGATTGTAGCCCCTTTTGTTATTTGTGCTTATGACTTTATGACTCATTAGTAAATAAAAGTAATTTACTACTACCAATATATTGAGTAGTTATTGATCTTGTTTACTTACACATCATAAATTTTGAAAACAAGACTTAACCATGTTTTTTGAAGAAAATATGTAGCCTTTGTTTTATGCATCATAGTTCATTTAAATTTAAGACATTTTTTAACCTTTGAATCCCATATCTCCCTGACACTTATTTTTTGTAAAAAGATGTCACTTAACCTTGTGCAAGATGGACTTGGTATATTAAAATTATGAATATGAGGTGTCTAATTAAAAGAGAAAACTGGGGTACATTGAGTAAAAAAAAAAATTGTTTACTGATGAAATAACACTACTGTATGCAGTCAAATAGTTGAAATTTTTTAAATATTAACAAAATCTTCATTACATAGAAATATTGTTTCAAAGATTTTATTTCAAATGACAGTACCGGAATTTTGGCAGTCATAGTCTTTTAATAACATTAAATTATTTAGTATTTATCCAAATTTAGGTATAATATGACATATTTGAAAACTTGTTTAATCCAAAAATTTTCCTATACACAAATTGATGCAGTTTTAGTGTAATGTTCAGTTGACTGTAAAATTGAAACCAAGAGATATTGGTCATTGAAAAATATCAAATTTATGTTATGAATGACATTTATTTTGATTTTAAGTTAACCACCATTCTATTTTATCATCATGTGGATAAATTGTTTTTACAATGTCATGTACCATGGGCTCCTGGAGTTTCAAAGGCACTTCATATTCTCTACCCCCTTGGCGGAAGGCAACACGAATTTTATCCCTGACTGTAATTGGTTTGTTCCAGTTTGTCTCCGCTGTATCGTCTGGCAAATCATGAATGGCAAAGGATATTTCTGGCTGGAACAGAATATAACAATTTTCACAACCAAATGCATATCTTGAGTTTGTTTCAGGATAAAATGGAGCAAAACTTGTTATAAAAAATGTTACTTTGTTGAACTCAAAAACCCAATTCCGTTTGTTCCAACTTTGAGAATTTTCAACCAAGTAGCTGAGCTTATATTTTAGTAACTCGGGATCCATCTGTGTCTTCAAAAGTTTTTGTTTCATATGGTCCAGATCAGCTTTTCTTAAAATCATTAACACTCTTCTCACTGCATTACCAAATACCTGTCAACATAAAATTTTAATTGGAATAAATAAAAATTGTAATCTGAGAAACAAAAAAAAGGGATAAAGATCAAGTAATTTAAAACATTTTGAGGGATTTATCATTATTAAGGAATAGTTGGATATGTTAAAAACTAAGTAAACTCCAAAAAAAATTTCAAAGCACTGTACTTGGAAATATGAATTAATATATTCTGCTCAATTCAATTACAGCATTTGATTTCAATCTTGCAGCATTTGATTTCAATTTTAGTCTTGAATACTATTTACATGTATACCGGTACCTGAATATTTCCACCAAAATCTTTTCCTGGCAGTTCAATAAGGAATGCATCCAAATTCAGGTCTATAAAGGCCATTGTGAATTTGTAAAATGTAGGAACAAGCCTAAATGAATTGAAAAAAAAAAAGTATCATATTTTAAGAATAAGAAGGCACATTTACATTTCGACATAAAGGAAAATAGATTTAACAGTACAAATTTTTAAGATTTGGGGAAAATATTTGTTTACTATGAAATATAAAAGGGATCAAATTTTGAATTTAAAAATTGTCTTCAGCCTGTATTGTAAAGGTAAGGTTTTCCCAGATGTACATAATAATAATAGAATTATCATAGCCCAAAAGTTTACACTTCTAGAATCATATTATAAATTGACTGTGATAACAATAACAATATTTTTAACAACTAGAAATCTGCTTTTGATGTTAAATTGAATTAGTTTATTCCTACACAACTTATTCCTAAAGCTTAAACTTACACTGAAATATGAGAAATAATATCATCAGCTACAGTGCAATTTATAAATAATGCCTTTTGAAGAATGTATCATTTCACTGTATTAAAAACAAATAGGGCCTACTACAAGTTTGTTTTACCTCCTAATATTCTCTTCTGGTTTGTTGAAGTCATGAAAATAAAGAATTTGATAATATTTAATTAAATTAACTATTGAGACACAAACAAATGATAGTGTAAATAAAACAATAAATGTTAAATTTTAATTATGTATACAATTACACTTTATACTTATACAAATTCAAATGTTTTGGCAAATGCCTTCACCAGTACAACAAAAAAAAAATCATACTATAAATTAAAATTAATGTATAATTATATTAATCAAATTAATGACTACTGTATTAAAAGTGATAAAAACACATTTACCTAAAGATATATCTTCATCATAATCAGGGGATCCCCACAGCTTTGCTCTTTTGGCAAAAATACATTCAGTTTCTTTTTTAATTTTTCCAAAATTCTTCAGTGATGATGTGTGGCTGGCATCATACAATACTAAGTCAGAGACAGATACAGCTATTTCTATCTCTTTGTTTGCAGTCAAGTAGCCAGGCCCCATTTTCCCTTTAAAAGGGTTTATACTAAGATCAAAATCAACATGTTTTGGACACATATAATGTGTAATTTTTTGTATCTGTGTCCATGTCCATGGGACTGTCACTAAGAAATATAGATTGATTATAAAATAGTTATTCCATGATTTGATATCACAACAATTTAATTTTCTCAAATAATTATTTGTGTAGTTATTTGTAATTTTAAATTATTATTATTACAGTGGTCTTATATAGCATGGTACCGCAGCTGGGCTCACAGCGCTGCACATAAAAATATTAACAAACATAATTATGACATTAAAAAATTTCCATATACCGGCACTGGTATTTATTTAATTAAAAAACAGCTGTTTAAAAACAAAAATTATATATTCAGCCTGCCCACCTCAGAACTATTTACATGTCAAGCCATGGACGGCACCCAGCCGCATCGGTCAGAGAGGGGGCTGGGAATCTATCAGGATAGTAGAGTATGAAGAGATGTGTCTTGAGCGCAGCTGTTTAGAAGCCGCGGATGTGTACTAAATACCTTATTATATGTTCCCTTACTTTTTTTTTTGTAAAGCAAAGCCAGAGCATATTTTCAATATAATGTAAGTGTAAGTTCTTATATTACTAGTTTGCAGACCCTTGGACTTAGTTTATTTCAACCACATAATATATCTATATAATACATTATAAATTATAAGTGCATATCTAGCCTAATTGATTATCTGTACAACAAGATAGTCATGTTGTGCAAATTACTACAATCCTGTAAATACCCTCATTACAAATTATATGGTACAGGTAGTACAATCGGTAATTACTGTGCCCCCCTCCTACACACACAGTAGTCTCAACCTACATTGTATGCATAATTTCTAAAAATATAGTCTTTATTTGACCAGTTATCCTTTTATAAGATAGTAAACATAATTTACATATGCTATAAGTTTAGCATAAGGCTTTAAGTAATGGCATGTCTACCTATGTCACAAATCTCATTAATAATATAGGCCTATTTTACTTTGGGGAGAGGAAATAATTCTTAGAATCAGAAGCAGGTGATCTAAAATTTCTTTGAAATTCATTGAAATGACAATGTATAGAAGGCAGGGAATAGAGGCGCTTTTGGTCAGGCGTTAACACTGGTCAGGTGTTAGTAAATCCATCCCTCCCTGTGGCACTGCAGCCCATGTAAGAAACAAAACAATTTTCACACAACCTGCCTCAGGAAACTCCTCGGAATCAGGTGGCAAGACAAAGTGCCTGACACGGAGGTCCTCGCTGGAGCAAACCTATCTAGCATCTTCACCACCCTGATGCAGTCTCAACTCCATTGGATGGGACACCTAGCCTGTATAAAAGACAACCAGCTCCCTAAACAGATATTCTTCTGAGAACTCATGATAGGCAAGAAATCCAAAGGAGGTCAAAAAAAGCATTACAAAGACGCATTGAAAGTGGCACTAAAGGCCTTCAGCATCAACCCTATTGAATGGGTGCAGACAACCCACGACAAAGTCAGGTGGAGATCGGCTGTCAAGAAGGGGGCTCAATCTCATGAAGCCAGTAGGATAGCCACAGCTGAGACACACAGGCTAGCCCGAAAAAGCAAGCTTAGATCACTGCAGTTCGAGAGATTATTCCGAGATCGGATCGGACTAGCATTCTTTCAAAGTGTCCTGACCTGCACAGCCTGGCCTTTTTTATTTCAGCTACAAGCTTACAAGACATTCATAAACACATGCCTTAGAAAGATCCTGAAAATCAAATGGCCAAATACTATCAATAACAAAGATCTACTAGAAAGGACATACCAGGTGCCCATAGATGAATGTATCATGAAGAAAAGGTGGAGGTGGATAGGGCATATGCTCCGAAAACGCCCAGACAGCACCACCAGACAATGACTAACATGGAACCCACAGGGAAAAAGAAAGAGAGGAAGGCCTAAGAATACATGGAGATGCGAGCTAGAGGCAGACACGCAAAATATGGGATACACCGAAGCAATTGGAAAGGAAAGCACAGGACCGTGATGAGAGGAAAGTTCTTGTAGACGGCCTATGCCCCAGACGGGGTAGGAAGGCATAAGAAGAAGAAGACAAGTTTACAAGCATGGGATCCAGGTATATTCCATACAATTCCTGGTTGGTTTATAGTCTCCATCTATATTCATCTTCTGTTGGTCCGAATATTGTCAGGAGAACTTTTCTCTCCCCCCCCCCCCATGTGTTTAATAGGTTTCTACTGGATTTTTTACAGTCCATGTTTCACTGGCTTATGTTACTATTGGTTTGATTAAAGTTTTTTACCAGTTATAAGTTATATAGTTTTCTTTGCTTTTCTTATGTTTTTTCTTTTGAGTATTTTGTAACTACTGAAGTATGCCCTATTTCTGGCTGATTTTCTTTCTTTTATTTCTGTTAGTAATTAGTTTTTTTTCATTTAATAAAGATCCTAGGCATTTGAATTGATTTACTTTATCAAAAGGGTTTAAGTTTAAGTAAATGTGAAAGTTAAAATTTGATGGAAATGAGAGTTGGTGTTTAAATTGAAGGTGACAATGGGACTGTCCATTTTTTGGTAGAGGATCAAGATGCAAGTTATGTATATAAGTAGAAACATTTCCAAACTATTACTTTATCTGTATAGCAACGCAACTGAGGTCATCAAAGAACTACAACATAGTGCATACTTCAATTAAAAATTGTTAAATATGTGGCATTCAGCATTTAACAAGCACGCCATAAATTGACAGACAGCACCAACGCTGATTTTTTCCTTCCATAAATAACCAGAACAGTTATTCATCACACATTTCAAACAATGTTTATCATGAATAAAAGTTAGGTCTAAATACTCTACTTACATAGCAAACAAATGCTCGATATAACTGAAATCCATGAGACTGCTATTGTTACTGAGTTTCTCAGAATAAAAATTGTTAAAATAATTTGAAGCAGTGCCTTTAACTTTAAGAAATAAATCAGTCGATAAAATAATGTATCACTCCAATATCTCCTTAGCATCATCTCTGTTATGATGTTCCCTTAGCATCTGTTAATTGTAATTTTCCTGTAATTTAAATAAATTATAATGTTTAGTTAGCCCTAATGATTTTAAAAATATTTTTAAAAATTAATTGAAATTTAATATTATATATATGGGCTTATATAATATTATTATAATATATATAACTATAAACTAATTAATTGCACTACAAACTCAAAACTTACTAAACTAAAGCGATAGGCTTATATATCTTAATTATTTTAAGTATATTGTCATAGTACTCATAATAGTGACCTAGACCTAAGTCTTTTTTAAATATTGTATTTTAATTTTATATAATTAAATTTGTATCGTCTATAGAATATGGTCAATTCTATACAGCATGTAATAAGTCAATTTGATTTGGGCAATAAAGTATGTCAAGGCTCTGGAGAGAGGTAGAGGGTCTAAAAAAAAGTGTGACAATTTGTGACTAGGGCAGGGGGTAAAAATCTTGTGTGAAATAACACATTTTTTATTTTTCTATCATACAAATAAAACCTGAAATTGAATAATTGAATTCACATTGATGTTAAACCCTCTGTTGTGATTGATGTATTGTATTCCGAAAATTATTTCACTTTATACTCAATATTTAAAAGTACCATAAATGTTTTTTAGATTAAATTAATTTTTTTTTTCAAATTTAATTCGAAAGTGTGACATACTGGGGGAGGGTGGGAGTATTATTTTCTCCAAAAATTGTGTGACGCATTTGTTGGCTGAAGAAGTTTTTTTGCCGATACGTCCGACCCGTTGTTTCCTTTTTTTTTTTCAGGTTTTCCCCTACCTTAAATTATGCTCTACTTACACTTAGGCTAGGGTGACAAAACGTCCCGTAAAAATGGGATTGTCCAATTTTTTCACGATCGTACCGGTACCCGGTGTCCCGAAATAGTCTCTCAGTACACCTAAATGTCTCGTTTCTAAAACAAAACACATTTTCAAATCACTAAAACTTCATAATTTATAATATAACTTCAAATAATATTTTGGCTAGCTGTGTAAGTGTAGCCAGTGCCAGCTGAGTAGTGATGTGGGCTCACGTGATCTGTTCCCCCTCCACCACTCTGCGATCCCTGCCCATAATGATAAGAATCTTTTCGCTCATGAACATTCAATGGACGGACGAAAGAAACAAGATGAGAGTGGAGACCCTTTCTGCAATCCTGCAGGTTCTCTAAAATTTCGAAATGGACTGTTCTAGTTTTTACAACTTTATATTAGATAAGTAAGGAGGTTTTAACAATGAATGGCTGGGACAACATATTAAATCCTATACTAGAGAAATTGGTAATTTAATTTGTCTGCAAAAGTATTGTTAGTTTATGATATGCCATATGCCTCACAGTTAAAATTAAATTTTAAAAGTGAGGGTAAATTTTAAAAAGATTTCTAGATCTCAAAATAGTTAAAATATTTTTTTTTTTTAAGTTTCCGGTGGAGGCCCCCAGTCGCCTCTTTAGCTGGAGGGTATTCTCCCTAACAACCCACCTTGGTTGTGTCCCGTCTTTTCCAGTTCATGATTTGGTCACACTAACTTAGGCCTATATTATTATTATACTTCCTTTAACCTTTTCGGTTATTTTTAATTTTAAATAAATGTTGCTTTTTTTTAAAAAAAAAAAACTGTATAACTGTATGTTATCGTTTCATCACCATAATCATTGTATTATAATTTATTTTAAATTTTAGAAGGCGAAGGCCCTGCCCTAAAAAAAAAAAACTATGTACTATGTAGTCACAGTTACACTAAGTTACAGTCACTTATGAATATATTTATTGACAGCAAGGAGTTTACATCATTGAATCAATGATTAATGCAAAGTGAAATGTAAAAACATTGTCGTCATTATTGTTCGGTACTTATCCTCCACAGTTTAGAATGTTAGACATTTGTTGTTAAAATAAGTTATTTGCCCCACTTTCGTTTTTCTAGCAATTTCCGGTTTATTCTATAATGGCGTCTAAAACGGGTCATCAAAAGTAGGCGCGTTTTCTCCAATGATGGCGTTAAGACAATGAAAATATCTGAATTGAAATTAAGGAAGGTAACTTTAACAGAATCATATATATAATTTTAAATAATTGTAATTTTACAGGTGTATGGAAGTGTTTCATATGTAGTTCATAGTGGAGAATGCTGGCTGCCCAATCGCAAAAGTACGTCGTCGCCAATTAAGTTAAAAATATCAAAGCGTCAAGAGCATTCACCGAAAAATTGGTGATAAGGGCCTGTAATCCCAGAGATTTTTTTCCCCCCAGTTCCGGTATCCAGTTTTATTTTAACTCAAAATATGGCTAATCTGATATACCGCCTAATCCTTACTCATACTGTTACTAGTCTTCATAATCTTAGTCTTATAAATTATATGATACTATAATTACTATATCTAGGTCTACTCTAGGTATTTCTGTAAAAAAAAAATGTATTTCAAAATATTACAGAGCTGTACTGTATGACATAGAGAAAACTTCCAATTAAAAAATGAAACAAGAATCAACTTTCTAGCTTTAACTTTAATGCTTTTTGAGATATGTATTTTTTATGTAAAAGTGTGAGTTTGTCAAAGTTTGTTTGGTATTTTGGGTTAACGTTATGGGTTTTGTCAAAAGTTGTCTTACCCCAAGCGCAGTGGCTTCACATTGGAGAATCCCAACACTGGACTTTGTTGAGTGAATAGACCTATTGTAGGACGTGATCGCCTGTGACTGTGAGTCATGTGTGACTTTCCTGTTCTTTACTTAGCATTACTTTCGTCATAAATGATAAAAAAAGTGTCTAGTTTACTACCTATAGCTTCTAGTTAGGGCAGGGAGCTATTTGTAGTGAACTACCAAGAGCTTCTAGAGAGCTATTGGTAGTCCAGCCAATCAGATCAAACCAAAATATGAGCTTTAAATACCCGCTTCCAATGAGGCTGGCGAAGTATTTCCCCGTTCATTTATTACTAGTTTGTACTAGTGACAACACCTCCGCACTAATTGTAAAATCTACAGTACTGTTGTAAAGTTTTAATACTATCTGCTGTAGCTCAGATTTGGCTATATTGCTTTTAATTTATCTAATATAGATCTTAGATAGATGTATGATACTGGGGGGAAGGGGATCATAGTCTGAAAAAATGTTACCCACCTTCTTCTTTGCCAAGGCCAAAGTAAGATGGGCAGTAAAAACAAAATCCAGCTGCAAACATATTGTGTGTGCTAATTATTATGATTAAAATTATAAATTAAAATACAAGCCTAAATAATTACCATAAGAAGTTTTACTGCATACAAAGTGTGCATATCAAAATCTTTTTACTTCAGTTAAATCAATTAAATAAACTGTATAATAACGTGATTAGGCTTAATGATGATAAAATAAGCTTAGGCCAATCATTGTTTAGGAAAATGATCACTTGAACAACCCCCCACCCCCCCGCTTTTGATTTTCTGTTGTTGGGGAAAATATCTACTGAGTGTTATTTACATAAATGAGCCATCATTAACTTATAAAGGCATTGATATTTTTATGTACAATTAAACAATTTCATTGGGAATATTGTGCAACTATAACACAAATTGGAACCACTATTTAATATTTATTTTTTAATGCTATGCGGAGTATGCAGAATCAATGTTTTAAACTGCACATAATTTTGATGAAAACATAAGCAGTGATACATAAATAAAATAAAATATATTGAAAGAAAGAAAAATAAGTGTACTATGTCTTGAAAATCCTTTTGGGGTGAATTTATGAGACTAGACTCTAGACACAAACAATACATTTTGTTGGCGCATGTTTGTTTGTTTTGGCGATATACATACTTCAGAGTGATTTCAGTGTTGTAATCAAAAATAAATTGTGACTACCAATAATTATTGCACTGTATTAATCTATCATCAATTGGTAGTTTTTTTATTGTAAACTACCAATAGCTGCTTAGAAGCTACTGGTAGTGGAGTTTACTACCAATAGCCACAGCCAATGATAAACTAAATCTAAAGATCGAATCGGTTAATATGAAGTATGTTAACTCTCAAAAGACTGTAGATTTTTCCAGTTTTTAATGACCTTGAATATATCTTATTCTTCAATGTGTCTCATGACTGTAATTTTGTAGCTACCTCCAAGTATTATATATCATTTTAAAGGTAATTGGATGCTCTTTAATTGATATTTGGTGTTTGTTCAAAATATCCTTGCTAAATTTGATGTTTTATTATTTTTGGGCAAAAAAAATATTTTTTTAAGTCGACAAAAACATAACATCACAGATTTACAAAGAAGGAGAAAAAAAAGTGTTTCCAATTAGAGCAATAAAATTTATATTTTATTTGAATGTGTTGAATACTAAAAAACATATTCAAATTTCAAAAGAATAGACTCATAAATAAAAAAGTTCAGATCATTCAAGGAAATATTGCTCAAAAAGTCAAAATTATTTTCAAAAAATAATAATAATTATTTTTTTCAAAGGAAAACATATAATGTATCATATTATCCTTTAGAGGATTATTAGTAAGTATTATTTTAGAAGAAAAGTTAAGAAAAAAAGGCACATTTTAATAAATTAAAAATTTTTATGCATCCCCGAGATACCGATCAAAGGATATAATCCTTCGCCAAGACAATTTATAAAAATTCTTGAAAACAATTTCTTTATTTATTAAATCATACAAATGTATCAAAGAGAAAGCCTGTGACATATTTACCCTGTTTTGGTAACCCACAATTACATTTTTTGTTATTGTCATGTAGAGGCGCATGATGTAAAGATTTCGGGCTTTACAGTATCGGGTTCATCATCAAATATGTCAATTGTTCATTAATCGCTATCTTTTCTTGATGCTGATACAGTTGATTGTATTTTGCATTGAGGTACAGAAGTGTCTCCCAATTTTGCACAGCATGTTTCCTTTATTTTCAGTATCAGAAACTTTAAGGAAACTCAATATAGCCTTGAATATGTCCTTAGTACTAATGGCCTTGCTCATTGTCCATCATAAAAGGATTTCCTGGACATTTCTTGTAAAATTAAGAGCTTGATAAGTCCTGCATTCATAATAAATCCACTTAGTAGCTAAAACTTCCCTTCAATGATGTTATAGTGGTACCAATTTTTGAAAACGCAAAAGTTCTGCGATCCATTGTCCTGCGCACAAGGCTTACTAATAACCAACCAAATCTGTAGTAAAGTAGAGGTTGAAAAATGTCAATTTGCTTTTAAAATCTCCTTATAAAATCTCCTTATATCTTCTCTTGTTATAACTTTAGGCATTAGGAAGCAATAGTGCTTATTACCTCTGTTCTAAATGCAGCAGAGAGTCCCACAGTCTTTTATCATCATAACCCATTGTATTGACTATATTTGACATCTGCCCTTCATAGATGCTGTCAAAATATTAAAAAAAGTTTTTTAGCTAAAATAAAAAAATTTACAATATAAATAAAAAGAATTCAAAATATTAAACAATCTGCCTAAATTACTTTTACTTCAAATTTTCATTGAAAAGGGAACATGGCTGATTGTTACAGTGTAATAATAGCCTTGGCCTTGAGAACCATTGTTTACATTTTGCTAACTGAAACGTAATAATAATAAATTAATTGTATAGCTACAAATTAGTTTCAAGCAAATAAATAATTAAATCTATTTCAGAATTTTATACTACTGGAACTTGAAAAAAACTAATGTTAGGGCTAATAATAGTGATTAAAAAGTATCACAGTATGCTGAGTTGAGTATGAATGAAAAAGTAAACAAACCTTGGATACTATTATTATGATGATAATTTACAGAATTCTCTTTATCAGATACATCTGAAGTGCTATCTTCATCAAAAATATTCCTCTAAGTAAGAATAGTTGTCCATTTCAAGCTTATAATCAGAATCAGACTCCATAGAAATGTTTTAGAGTGTAGTAACAGGGAATTGTGGAAAAATATTAGTAAATGGCAAAAAGGAAAATTTATGGACAAGTTGCTACTAGATTTCTTCAAGAACTAGTAATATAAACGATTTTTCTTTCTTGCCAAATAGAAATTTAACATTCCAAAATTGTAAATCTTTATTTTCGCCTTTTAATATTATTTTTATATATATATTAGCGGTAGTTTTTTCACCCGCCATATATGACAGATTTTTCAATCTCCCGTCTTTTGAGAGTTAAGATTAATTTTTATTAAAATCCAACATACACTTACAGCTTTCAAAAGAATTGAAAACAAAAACCCATCCTTGCTAATACCGCTGGAAAAAAAAAAACGTGTGCTAAAAAATCTCTTTTGATTTGTTGAAAATCAAAGAACCCGTATCATGCGGTATGTTAAAACTTTGTTAACAAAAGGTAGCCTGCCGTTTTACCCACGAACTGTCCATTGTATGTTTCTGTACTGTGTTTCTAGAGCTTTTTGGGTGCCTTTGAAAAATGTGATTTTCACATGCAAATACTATAGCTAGACCCTGTAAAGTATATATTTATTGACGTAGACTGGGTGGGTAATCATACTGGCTATTTCTTCTTCTTCTATATCTTAAGGGCCCACGATCAATTTATTGATAATTTTGGCTTCTATGCATGTAGATGGAATTTGCAATGTTTCTGTTACTGGTGTTGATGAGGAAATCATGCACTAGGGGTTTGAAGGCTTGAGGCAATAGACACAAATGTGTCTAGTGTTGTCGCCTCAACCGTTCCTTTTGAAAGATTGTTCCAGTCCCTGATTGTCTTGGGCAGGAATGAGCAGCTCCTATACTGGCTTCTTGATGTATGAACCTGAATTGCCTGTCATGGCCTCGTCGCTGTCTATGGGGGAGAGGGACGAGTTTCTGTTTAATACTGGAACAGTGGACCAGCCCATTATTTATCTTGTACATCATTTTTTAATGATATTTTAACCTGGCTAACTAAGACTTTGACCTTGGAGTGACCAAGAATAAAGAAAAATTGTCTTTTTGAGTACCTCAAACTACAATTTTTGAAGGCATATTATTATAATGTTTATATAATATGATATTATTAACATTTACCTTTTAGAAAATGTATTATTTGTATATGTTTTCATTTATTAATAGATTTTTTTAAAAAATCTTCTGATACCTATAATTACGTTCAAGTAACAAAGCGTGACATAAACAATGTAAACATTACAAAAACATAGCAAGAAAGAGATAAAATTTAAAAAGCGGCTATATAAATATTTAATTCATAAAATGAAATATAGGAAAACATATATAGAACAACATCAAATTATTTTTTGTTGGTTCAAAATCATCTGCAACATAGTTTTGAACGAGTCCTAATGTTGCGGCATCAACTACTTGTTTTTGGCCTAGGTCTAAATCGTCCGAACTTTTGCTTTCTGACCCACTAGAAAAATAATCGGAGTTATCATTGTTTTAGTGTGATCGTAAAATCATCTTCCGAATCACTTAAGTCATTAACTAAAAAGAATTATCAAAAAGATTCCTAATTGATTTCTTTTGTGAGCCCGATGGTCTGACGCAAATTTGCTTGATAAAGATCGTTGCAAAAATAACTCCAAAGTTTTAAAAAAGGACACAGAAGAGCAAAAAACGGAAGTTCACGTATTCTGTCCATTCCCAAGACACACACTAAAACATATGGTGAACGATCTTTCTCTTTCTGCCGCCCCCAAACAATGGAATTCTTTGCCACTAAGCATAGGCAATATACCAACCACCCAGGCCTTCAAAGCTGCACTCAAAACATATCTTTTTAAATTATACTACGGGTACCCTGACTGATTCCCCTCCTCTGACCGATAAACGATCTTGCTGGTGCCGTCCATGGTTTGCCTTGTAAAAGTTATGTGGTGGGGTGGGTGAATATACATTGCTGTTCTTTATTTCATAAATGTATTTTATTTTAATGTCATGATTATGTCTCTTTTGATAAAATTTTTATGTACAGCGCGGTGAGCACAGCCCTAGGCTGGGGTACCGCGCTATAAAAGACGTCTTGTTATTATTATTAATAAAAGGAAGTAGCGTTATTTTGTGTAAAATATTGGACTGGAACTTATTCTTTCAACGCATCTTTTTATCTGCCGTTTTTATTGGCCGACACAATTTGGGAAGAGGAAATCAGCAGATTTCTTCAGCCGACGACAGTTCGTGGGTTAAATTATACTGGATATGGGTGTCTGCGCAAAAGCTTAGGAAATAATTGATCACTTCAGTTTCATAATGGTTAGATGGTATTTGAATTTGAACCAGAATATTTTCAATTGAGGTTTAAAAACCTGTTAGATTCCATATAATAAATTATCATAATTTTCTGTGTGCAAAATCTCGAGTTTCATTCATTGTGCAAAATGATCTTCTTTTGGACTTGGGAGGGCTCTCCCCAACCCATAACCCCATTTTAAATAGTGTATTAAATTTATCTAGCTATGCAATATTATCTTTAGATTTAATAAATAAAATATGAATTTGGTTCTTTAAGTCAAAGGCAACCATTATCTTATAAAATATAAGCACTCTCCCCAAACTCCCCCCCCCCCCCCCCCCCCCACTTTCATGCAGCTGACTTCAAACGAAAGTCCTCAATATTCAATCCCCCAACTGTGCATATCACTGTGGCAGTTATGGGTCCTTATTTTCATTGGCAATAAATCCTTTTTACATAAATATTTAAGCGTCAGTCATTTACTTAGGATAAATTACCTTTTTTTTTTTTAGACATGCAATACGAATAGTTTTTGTATTGTTTTGTCATCTGTATGTTTATTTAGTTACTATTACAAGTTGATGCAGTGGTGTACAATTTTGAGATGGTGAAGTACTATTCTGAAACGATATTGTGCTATTTTGGAAGTTCTAAGGTAACCAGTTCTAGTAAATTGTTTAATGTGCAATAGAACTTAATATGAGGCCATAAGATTTTATGGGTGCTACTGAATGGTCCAAGGCAACAGGAAAATTAACATCTGTCTTATTTGCTTTTATTTTGCAACTTCATCCCGCTGATGAATATCTCCCGTACATGTGTACGGTCACATGACTTTTAGACACTTTTTATTGAAGCGAACCAGACTCTCCAAATCATTTGCAATCAATTGATCCGAACATGATTTATCCTTTTTACAAGGCTAAAAAATAATTCAGACTATTTTTTTTTTGCTAAAAGCTTTTCTTAATTAAATGGTTAAATCTATTGAAAGTGATGGGTACAATGATATTAATAAACATATTTTAACCCAACTGCTGCTAAGACTAAAAGTAATCCATGTCATTTCTTTGCTAAGGAATCGGGCGATCGTTAGCAGATCGTTAAATTTACCACTTTTCTTATTGAAGGAATTATTTCTCAAGCCAACTCCAATCGTTTTAATGCCAGGGTCAAAGATATGTTTCAAGACTTGCAGAATGCTAGAAGATTGTAAAGAAAAATTTCAATGAAACAAGGGCAAGCATGAAAGTGGATACTTTTTCTAACTTGCTTGTAACTAAATCAATTGCAATGCTAACCTTCAGTTGTCCTAATAGCTGTTGGACAAGTGCAAAAAGGCCACTAGGGATATGCTTGAAAACTGAACTCTTACTAAGAGTCTTAGCAGCCTGTGTACATATGTATTTAAAAGGGATCTTCTGTTCTGTATTTATCTGCATATAATTAAAAAACCATTTCCAGTAATGTTTTTGTCATGTTCTGTGGACTCTTCAAAGACAAGGTACCGTAGGTAACTTTTTATTTACTAAAAAAAGAAAGGGCTTGTGCATTAGTATATAGATATTAAATCAAACCCCCTGGCCACCCGCTTGGTGCACCACCCCCTGGGGGCAACTTCTCCCCTGCGTACACCCCCTACAGATATTTTTTTCTTTGCAGGTTGGCAGGTCTGCGATTGTACGCCAAGACCCGCCAAAACCCTGGGTAATTTTTTCAGATTAAAAAAAAATTAATTAAATTTTCGATTTTTGAAGTTTTAGCCTCTCTCATAAAGATCTAGCAGTGAATGGACCAAGAAAAATTATTGGTTGTAATTTTTTTTAAAGTTGGGCCCACCCTGCATAATATTATGTACGCACTGGGGGGGGGGTTGCTGATTGAGGTTATTTGTGTTAACAAAACCCATGGGTAGTGGATTGGTGGGAGTGTCAAAGGTTATAAAAATATCTCCGCAACATATTATATTGATGCTTATGATTGTCATGTTGTTGCTTTATGTGGTACAGTGAACTAGCTAGTTGCGTCAACTGTAATATTTAGACTAGCGACAACTTCACTCACCATCCCCTATGACTGCTACCAAGCGTGTGATGTCGTTTTGTTACATAATTATTTTATTCATATGAACTGCTGCGATTGTGAAAACGGAGAAAACTAGAGATGGTTTTTAAAATAAAATACATTATCCAACTGTTCTGTGCTGGAATGCATGAATTTGACATATTTTATAAGATCTAGTCAGCAGCATTTAAAATATATTTTTAGAACTCGCAAAGCAGCTCTTATCCCCTCAATGATTTTAATACAACAGTTTAGTATCGCTACTCCTACCCCCACCCCTGGCCCACTTTTTTACAGCTTGCGGTAGTTAATAAACTTCAGTATGTTAACTGAAAAAAATCAGGTGCCTACTGGATAGGCCACGGCACAATGTTTTTCCCCATTAATGAGGATAAGGGAAGGTTGGCTTTGCGGAGCGAAATAATTACGTCACCAGCACGGAAAGATGTATAAGTGGACTAAATTGTGTTGTCACTTTGTCATGTTAAAGATGAAAACACAAAGCATTAGTATACTGTAGTATACGATAACTGCCAAACAATGTGATATTTTTATAGCCTTAATAATGATAATAGGCCTAATTAGAATTAATGGATTTCACAGATTTTCAGATGACAGTTGGTTCTATAACAGAATAACAGACCGTCAGGATAATTATTGTAGAATTTATGCAAAAATGTAGGTGAATTCTGGTGGAGCCCCCCCCCCCCCCCCCCCCCCCCCCCCCCCCCCCCCCCCCCCCCCCCCCCCCTCCCATCAAAGCTGCCAAGCGCATACGTAAAATTTGGATGGCCCTTTGCCCTTTACATTGACAAGGTCTTCTACTTCTACCAATAAAAATCAGAATGAACAAAAGAAAAAGAAATTTTATCAGCAGATATTCTTTCTTGAATATCAGATAAAATTTACTGAGTTGCGTTCTTCATCGAAGGGTCCATCATACACGCACTGCGCCATCTGCAAGTCAGACTTTTCATTAGCAATTAGAGGCAAAAGGAGTGGTGTTAATTTAGGAGATTGTGTGTAAGGCATGGTTCTAAATATTTAAATCTATACAATCAACATTTTCGTAATGACAGTTGTTGTTTTTTTTTGGGGGGGGGGGGTGTTGTTACTCAGCAGAAATTATGTGCATATTAAAAAATTCTACAATATTCATCCTGAAAGTCCAAATATAACATATTTATATCTCGAATGCTGTTTAGTAGGAATTATTGTTGTGATGTTTTTCATAAATGAACTCGTTAGCTATACAAGGACAATGTGCTGCGCCCCTTGTCTTTGAGAAGTAAATGGGATATTATATAGTTAACTTCACTGTTAAGTTCCTTTCTAAAGACTTTGTATGACCTAATTTTTTCTTACGGCTGACCGCGGAGAGTACAGAAACGGAGAAGACTAGAGAATGCATTCTCAACTGTTAACATGCAGCAATATTAGGAGAGAATTTGGCGGTTCCACTTAAAAAACATTGACATAACAGGGTTGGCGAGTTAACCGAGGTCGAGATAAGCGGGTTCAACTGTAATTAATAACAACCATCTTCTTTACCATCATGTTTCCTACCAAAAACAACATAAAATATTGTACTTGTACCATTTCTTTAAAAGTATGTGTTGAAATTAAGATTAGATGCAGACTAATAATTTTTTACTATACTCTTTCAGACTATTGACACCTGATTTCAACCAACAGGAAGCCATTCACTGAAATTGTTGTTATCCATCTAGATAGTTTTAAAATCACAAAATCTTCACCTTATGTTCGGCTAAAGCTATCACAATGGATGAAAATGTGTGCCTATCAACCTGGCGATTGTTTTATGATACCTTTCAAAATTCTAAAATTGTATTTTCACAAGTGGGGACAGGTAACGAAATTGCTTTAAAAAATGCTGGTACATCTTTGCTATTTGACACGGGCGGTGACTCTGCAAAGGAGCTTTTTAAAAACTGTGGGCTTTTGGGAGGAGATATTGTTAAATTGAATTACATTCTATGGAAACTTGAGGAGTTGTCTCTTCCTAAAGTCATTGTCATGTATGAACAATTTAAAAAAACGGAGACGACCTTTGACATCATGAATGCCATAGCTGAAGTTCACCTGCAACATGTTGATTCTATTCCTGATTTTCATGTGGACGGAAGTGTCACGATAAAAATAGAAACTGAAGAAGGAGAAGAATCTGTTGAAGGTACTCTTGTACAGTATACTGATGATGACTTTAATTCCCAGATTCAAGGATCTACTGCCACCTCAGTTCCTGGGTCTGTGGTATCTGTTGCTAGTGCCTTTGATAAAAGTAAAAAATTTGCCTCTCAAAGCCATCACTTACAGATAGCCACGCCTAAGTTAGAAAGTAAGAGTTTACAGAATGAAACACCTAAACCTTCATCATTTTCAATTGGTGAAAAGACTTTCAAATCTCCTAGAAATACCACCACCTCCCTTCATTTTAATCATTATTCCGAAAGTACAGGCACTGCACTGAAGTCTGTGAAGGATAGTTCTGTGGGTCATCACAATACACCGAGTAGAAGAAGAAGTTCAAGAAGTGTAAAGATTACACCAAAATTCTTAGATATTAGCAGCATTCTGATGAAGTCCATTAAGCCAGAGCCTCCTCCAGAGGATTCAGAAAGAAATGAAGAAGGAGAGATCCAGTATTTAGAGATTCAGAAAGAGGAACTGGAGGAGGAGGAAGAAGAAGAAGAATTGGAAGATATTGAAGGTGATCTTGTATATGCCTTGCCCCCATACCAATGCTCAACATGCAAATCTACTTCCTTTGCGAGTGCGACAGAACTACAGAATCACTGGGAAACACATGATGAGAATGTCAGTTCATCAGAGGGTAGACCTTTTATGTGTGACAAATGCGGACGTTCATTTACAGCTTACTTAAACCTTAAGCTACACTACAGAGGACATACTGGACAAAGGAAATACAAATGCCATGAGTGCGGCAAGAGATTTGCTCACTTACTTGGTCTGAAAAAGCATAAAGAAATGCATGGCCACCTCACTTTAAATAAAAAATACTCCTGTGACTTATGTGGGAAGTATTTCATGGATTATCTTGGTGTCGTAAAGCATATTGCTCACCATGTAGCTGATCGGGAAACATGCTCTCATTGTGGCAAGACTTTTGCAAGTCTTCGCAATCTCCAAACCCATGAAAAGATACACGCGAATGATCGGCCCTTTCAGTGCAAGAGTTGCCCAAAAGCATTTGTCAGCATATATAATCTTCGAGTTCATGAAACTATCCACACAGGTGAGAGAAACCACTGTTGTCCTTACTGTGGAAAACGCTACCGTCTAAAGACCGGATTGGATTATCACATCAAGAAACATAACCCAGATGCTCAGTTCAAATGTGATAAATGCCCTAAGACATTCCTGGACACCCGGCAGTTGGAGAAGCACATGGACAGACACAGGGGCATTAAATTCTTCTTTTGTGATGTTTGTGGTAAAGGTTTCATACGTGAAAAGGGATTCAACAATCATAAAAAAATACATGATCGTTCAATAAAATATCCATGTGACATGTGTGACAAGCAATTTGTAACACCATCTCTTTTGAGAAACCATCGCACCATTCATACGGGTGAAAGACCTCATGTATGTAAGGTGTGTGGCAAGGCTTTTAGAATTCCTCAAGGTTTAATCAACCACAGGAGACGGCATAATCCAAGCAAAATGTTTCGTTGCAGCGAATGTCCTAAAATGTATTTAGAGAGAAGAGCATTGGAGAGCCATATGCTATCTCATCAAGGGGTTAAGCCTTTTACCTGCCTCCATTGTGGAAAGAATTTTCTCAGAGAACAAAGCTTAACTAAACATATGACCCTTCATAACTTTCCTGATGCTCATAGATGCACTGTGTGTAACAAATCTTTTGTTGATAAGTGGGGTTTGATTAAACACAGCAGTATTCACACAGGAGAGAAGCCACATGTTTGCAATGTGTGTGGAAAAGGATTTCGCATCAAGAAAGGTTTAGATGACCACACTAAACTTCACAATAAAGAGCTTCAGTTCCAGTGTCCACTTTGTCCAAAATCTTTTGTTGAGAAACGAGGCTTAGATTATCACCTTCGTGCCCACAGAGGAGAGAAAACACATGTATGTGAGCTATGTGGGGAGAGGTTTGTGAATCCAAATTCACTTAAAGTCCACTATCGCCGCCACACAGGTGAGAAGCCCTACAAATGCTCATTCTGTGCTAAAGCGTTCAGTCAGCAAGGCACACTAATAGCCCATGAGCGCTACCACAAGGGAGAAAAGCCATACATGTGTGGCACTTGTGGTGAGGGATTTACCACGAAAAGTCATTTGACAATCCATGTAAGGAAACATACTAATGATCGACCTTACAAATGCGAATACTGCGACTATGCTGGTACAACCAGAAGTTTACTCAATGTTCATCTGCTTCGTCATTCAAGCAACAAGCCATTCAAATGTACTGTATGTCCTGCTGCATTTAAGCGACAGCACCATTTAGAGGGCCATCTACGCAAGCACACAGACAGAGATAAACTGTTCCGCTGCTCATTTTGTGAAACAACTTGTATTTCTGAAGAGCGCCTAAAGAAACACATGAAAACCCATGAGATTGTTGTTGTATCCACAGCCACGGAGGACGATATCTTTCATGTTAATAACACTAATAGAAGTGAAGGGCCAGTTGAAGTAGCTTACGACATTATACTTCTGTAGTTACCTTTTTTTTTTTTGGTGTATGCTTTTATTGAATTCTTTACATGTTTATTATATTGTAATTTGTTATTGATTCATTCCTATTTAATGCAAATTCTCTTATCTAAGATGAAATATTGATTACTTATTTAAAGTAAAAGGTACTCGAATCTGTTAATAAATTTCCATTAATTTTATCATATTATTTGTTTTGAACAAAAAATAAAAAAATAAAGCTATTGTAGAAACTTTGTATAACAGTTGTAACAAGAAAGCTGATCTCATAAAAAATTGGATAGTGCTTATCTTTTTTTAACAGTGTTTTTTAATATTAATTGTTTTAAAAAATGACAATATGCAGTATACCAGTATCATAATCTAATTTACTACATTGTGCATTACAGATATTTTAAGTAATGCCCCAAACAGAAAATTCACATTTTATATCAATTTGAAATCCTAGTCGCTTGGAAGTTTTTCTTAATTTTGGATTATTGTTGAAACTCTTTGCTTTACAAGCCTTAAATAGAAACACTGAGTTGCATAGCCATACAGTGTAAATCAAATTATAATAATTAAAATCCTAGTTACCATAGCCCATATGTGAAATTTTTTTTTTTTTTTGTTTCACGGAATGCAGCAGTAAAAATTATCGATAACTATGTTTTTTCTTTTTTCTTTTTTTTTTTACTAGCTTAACCCCTCTTTTTAATTGTACTGAGTTGCATAGCCATACAGTGTAAATCAAATTATAATAATTAAAATCCTAGTTACCATAGCCCATATGTGAAATTTTTTTTTTTTTTGTTTCACGGAATGCAGCAGTGAAAATTATCGGTAACTAGGTTTCTTTCTTTTTCTTTTTTTTTTTACTAGCGTAACCCCTGTTTGCAAGTGTCGAGGCTGGTAAATGTTTGGTACCGGTAATCTTTTAAATTAATTAGTGTAAAATTCAATAAATCTGATAAGTTTGTCCTGCTTCAAAATCAGACAAAAGTGGTAATCAAAAAAAAGCTAAAGAGTAGAAGTGTACTTTTAATGTTTGTCCTGTTTTTTAGTAAATGATTTCTGTCATAAGGTTGAAGTCAGTTTAAGTGAATTTGTGTACACAAATGGAAATAAAATTTACCATATGAAGCGGATGCCATTTATTTTAAGTTATTTATTGTGATAGCGATACTGGTAATAGTGCCCTAGCAAAGCACAACATGTGCAGTGCATAGATAAAAGATGTTATGAAATAATATCTACCGGTTTTTGAAACGATTTAACTAGATTTACACATTTTATTTAATGATGATTTTTTTATTTTTTTTTCAGACTTTACCTTCCTGATATCTTTACAATAATAATGTAAAAAGATAAGCATATTGTCCCAAAAATGATAATTTGCTTTCAGTACTTTCAGCTGTTTTCTGTCTAGTGGGACACAATCAACTTTTTGCAAATATTAACTTGCAGAGTATTGAACACTCAAGGAGGTTTTTGTGAACAAATACAACATAGGCTGTAAGCAAAATAGTTAATAATAAAGAACTAACTTGTTTCAGCTTGAGGTATCCAATTTAATCGAAATTTTGCTAGTGATCTCTTTTTTTTTTTTTTTTTTTTCCCATTAACTTAAATGAAATAATTTTTTTTTGCTATAAATTTTTTTAATAAGTTTTAAAAAATATAATAACTTATCTTTTTTACAAATATTAATATTTAATTTTTTTTTTTATTTTTATTAAATTTTTTTTTTTGATTTTTTTTTTTTTTTTTTTTTTTTCCCATTAACTTAAATGAAATAATTTTCTTTTGCTATAAATTGTTTTAATAAGTTGTAAATAATATAATAACTTATCTTTTTTACAAATATTAATATTTAATTTCTTTTTTTAAATCTGTTATGGAATTATGTATTGATAATATCAATTACATTGTAAAACATTATTTAATAATATTATGTACGTGCTGCATATTTATCTTTTTCTCTATGCTAATTGATTTTAATTTAAATAAATGGAAGTGTACATTTTATTATTTTAGAAGAAAATTGTTTTGACTACAATTCATTTATAATAAAGTTTGGTATTTCAGTCATATAACTTGTCCACTATAGAGACATTTATAAATATATTTGAGCTTGTGCTCATAAATTGGAAACATGTTGCAACAAAAGTAGATTATCAGCTACCTATTAGAACACTTCCATGATCCATAGTTTACATTTGATTTATTTAGTCACAGGAATTCAAAATGTCCATTGTAAGGGAGTTGGCATGTTTGGATTGCATGTAATTTTTATTTTATGTAACCAATGTTTTCTTTTTTTAAATCCTCAATGTAAATTACCATACTGCACTAAATCATTAGTACATATATTTTTATCAATAGTTGTATGAATTTGATGTAAAGGTTGACAAGTTCAGAAGTGAATTAAGTAGAATGTAGTTTTAATCTATAACTTTAACATTGTTGTGGCAAGTCAAATTTATGTTTCTTCTTAATACTTAAAATACCAATTTCCCTCATGTCAATTTCCTTTAAATGTCAGTGGTGCCCTATGTGAAGGCCAATTGTAAAAGAAGTGGCAAGTTGATAGTGTTGAATTGAACAAAAATGAACTTTCCTGCACAAGCTTGAGTTGTGGGATTGTTTAAAAGAATGAAAATGAAAGAGCTAACTAATTGCACCATAATATTTATTGATCACCAAAAAGAACATTAAACGCATCACCTCTTTTTTATTTCAGTGCAGTGTATGCTAGTGAAATTTGTAAAACTATGTGCTACTATTTGGACACGTCTTTTATCCTCCCTGACCCCAAAATGTTGTCAAACTTTTTTTTAAATGCTGGTTGTTTTTTTTTAAAGTTAAATGCATTATTTCTTTTTAAGCCTTTCTTAATTAAAACAAAAATATTTAGATTGTGCTCATAAATCAGTTCCCAATGTGTGTGCAGTGGGGAACCGCAGCTTCTTCACAAGAACAGAGAAATATAACATAATTTTCATTATTTCCCATACAATGTAACAAGATGCAACAAGTAGTGGTCACTGTGCAAATTAGTAACTCACCAAGTCAGGCCTGCACAAAATGTGGGCCTCATGCCAGCACAGAGCATCAAAAATGTTCGGAATCTAACATAAGTTTTTTGAATTGTTATGGTTAAACTATTATTTCAATATTATTTTAATCATTGTATGAATACAAAGATTTTCAGCTTTGTGATGATCTGCATTAATTGTTTGTTAGGATGCACATTTGAGAAGAGATATATGTAAAAAATTGGTTTCATCAGAGTTTTCAAACCTTTCCTTTATTTAGGAGTTTCATATTAATCTCTACCCATATGACACATGTGACAGAGGTAACACATATACGTTTGTAGTTTTTTAACTTGTTTCTTTTTTTTTCAAAGATAATTAAAATTCATCTGATGTTAATGTTGAGTGTTTTTTGTTTTTTTTAATGTCTTATTAAAACATACTCATTAAAAAATAAGTGTGGGGGTCAGGAGTTATTATATTAACATTTAAACTCTCTCTAACCAAAAGACTTTACCCAATTTCCATGAGTACCAACTAGTATGCCTATATATACATATGCTCAATGAATCAATGCTATTGTACAAAATTATTGGTTCTCAAACTTGTCCCATCTTTGACCCTACCATAATAAGAAAAATGTATTCTCAGAATGATTATGTTCCCACCACTCATTTAACTACATAATCATATTTATGAGAAACATTTTTTAACATTGAATGAAAACAAAATGAATTTTTTATTTAAATAATTTATTTATGCTACAGTAGTACCCTGATTAATTTGACCCAGTGATATTATCACTTTTAACCAGGGGAAAGGAAACTTAAAGTCCGGTTTTGGCATTAGGAGTAAAATTGGGTAAATGATACCCTCACCAGTGACTAAGTAGCCCTTGCAACCAGGGAAATAACCTTGTCAACACCAGGCACAGAAACATTGCAAATCCCCTCTACATGCATAGGAGCCAGAATGATCAATAAATGGGCCCTTAAATTTAGAAGAAGAAGAAGAAGAAATGATGTCAAATCATTTATCTAAAATATTTTAGTACCGGTACCACGTTGGGCCAGGGGCGCCTACACAGGAGGTGGGGGGGAGGGAGCAGTTTCTTCCAATCTGAGATAGAGGGGAAATAAAAATTAAAACACTTCCTTCTGGCCTACACTTGAATTTCACCAGGTACCCAGGTAATAAAATTAATAGAGAGAAAAAAATTCAAAAACTTGATTTTTTTTTTTTAGGGTGGGGGACGGACGACATTTTTTTAGGATACTGGTAATAAAAAACAATGCATTCAAATTGTCTGGTCAAAAGTAGAGTGGGAAAGAACTCCAACCCTCTAAAAATAAAATGGAATTATATGTTCTAACTGCACAATATGCTGTTGACCGCCAAAAATAGAAGAATTTAAACTAAAATGAAAATAAATCTACAAAAATTAATTTTTTTGAATAATCACTATGTTTGACAATATGATATTCTGAAAAAGGTGATTAATTATTGAGTTACCGGCGAAATTGTAATTGTTATCAATATTATTATTGAAAAGTTAGCAATGATCTATATTTTTTTTTAAAATTCATTGTATCACTAATTTTCTTAATGCATAGTGAACACCCGAATTAAAACGCAATGAGTGTCATGTCCCATACACAGAAAATACACAGAACTCAAGCAGAGTATTCGCTCGACTTTTCGAGGCCCCCCTTTGCCACTTTTTGGTATAGTCCACCCCCATATTGCATTAAAATGATAAGTGAGAGAATATCCACATTCCACATCTCATCTTTAAGTACCTAAAATATCCGAGGCCCCCTGCAGTCGTAGTGGTTGCTGGACTCACGCGATGCATCTATGGTTAAGTGACCCCTACATTTTATTGAAACTGTCATCTCTTCCGTTGCTCTCAAATTACATGTAGAATGTTGAAAAAGTAAATTATTTACTAAAATACATTCTTGTATTTTTAATTTATCAAAAATTTTC